TGATTCATAAAAAACAATGAGCCGGGCTAATTCCTCCACCTGATTACAGTCCCAGACCTGTGTCAGAGAAATGTGGCCACCAACGCCTTTCCAATTAATTCTACATATTAATGGGTGATTTAAAAAAAAAAAAAATCAACAAAGGCTACTTACCATAGCCTAGACTGTTGCATTTTGAAGTCAAACTTAATTATGCACAACTATGCTATGGACTGAAAGAAAATGTCCAATTATTTTGAGAAAAACATATTCGGTGGGAGAGTGAATGATGCAGATCAAAATGGGCCACTTACATTACTTGTGCAATTATACAGTTCCTGTGATGATACACATATTTAGGTTTTATTTTTATTTTTTTTTATCTGTAATCTTGTAATGTCAGCAATACCGTTCACTTAGAGCAGCCAGGGGGACACTGAGATCTAACAGAGCAGAGGGAAAAACCGCTGCTGCCTTTGTTGAGGTTCAGTAAGTGTTGGCGCACATATGTGTTAGTAGTAAAAAATAAACAAATTAATAAGAAATAGCACATAATAAAGTTGAATCTTTGACATTAAAGGAACCTGTGTTCTTGAAAAAAAGCACAATATTAAAAAAACCTCTCTCATTCAGATTGAGGCAATGTAACAGCCAAAGCTGTGCGAAATTTCAAATGAGGAACCTTAAGATGCCTTTTGAAACAGCTGGTGTACTACACTCGCTCGCATGTGTCTGCCTGGCTCCACATTATCACAGCTTTTCATTTAAGAGGCTGACTTGATGGAGGTGATGCCCCACTGTCCGCTCTTTCTGGCTCCACTGACCCTTGATAGCATCGGTATTTTTGCCTGTGAGAGCTGACAATTTTCTAAACAGCGAAGAGCCATAATTAATTTAGTGACATTAATTAGTGGCGTGTTACTAAGTTGTCAAGAACTCGTTGTTGAAGGGTAAAATTGCCAAAAGAAAATGCTATGGCACCGCTTCTTATCATTGTTGGAAGATTGTGCAGCAAATTAGATAACACTTAGAAAGACAGATGTCACAACACGTGCTGCCACATTCATTAACTCCTGCGGTCCTTCAACAGTCCCCCGCCTCGCCTCAAACTTTACCAGGCCTGCTGTTCTTTACCTCCTCTTATCCTGTTTATCATTAGGTCCTAGCTATAGCTTCCCCTCTCCCAGACCACAGTCTACTCTTGACCTGTCGCTTGGAATAAAATAGCTGTTTTTTGAAACACCCCCCCAAAAAACAGTACAAATGGAAAGACAAGTGTCCAAAGTCCCAGTGATGATATGTGTGTTGAGAGAGATGTAGTGACTTTTTGGATTTTGACATTTCAGATCACAGTCAACAGTAGTTTTATCTGTTGCAAGAGTAAAGCCATTCTTGCAGAGTGTCCACATGTATGCAGGCATGCCAAGCCCCCCGCCCTTCTCTCTCTCTCTCTCTCTCTCTCTCTCACACACACACACACACACACACACACACAGGATAAATAACATAACAGTACAACAAGAACAATTGAAAAGAAATGGAAAGTTAAAGAACTCGAGCCGAGCCAAGCCGAGCCACCTCATTACAAACTCAACTTTTTTATGAAATAATCTGCACACACTCATACACATATTGTTATCGTCATTCACGACACTGCACAGTTTGCATGTGGCAAAATATTATTTGCATTTCTGAATAAAGAGATATGTCGCTGCGAGTGCATTTTATTTTCCTTGTGCGCGTGTCAAATCAGCTTATCGTGAGCGGAATTGGTTGTAATATCATTAAAGAATTCATTTTGGCAAGGGAACACACTCCGAGTGAGACTGTTCGCAGAAGAGCAAGGCCGTAAAACGAAACCTACACACACCAGCACCTTCATTTGCATGAGTGTGTGGCTTGGAGTTAAATAACAGTTTTTTAAGCATTAAAATAACATAACATGGGTAAGATATATCATCACTGAGACGGGGACTTTTTCTTCCCCCCTCCCCCCCTTTACAGTTATGCCAAATGTACCCTCTGCGTTAACAGAATCAACCGTTAATAATCAGATAATCACATATATGAGCAAGACATTAATATTCACAGCATCACATGAAGCACATTTCTTTCAGCGCCCCTTTTCTCGCCCTCCTTCCCTCTCACTCGCTCCCATCTTTTTCTTTGATCCCACGAATTGCTGGCTCAAGAGCTTTAAATTATAATAATAATAATAATGATAATAATAATAAATCCTACCTGTGTATGAGGACAGTTAAAGGCAAGATTTGAGGTTTATTCAGTTTGTGTTTTTTTTGTCTGAACTCATTTTAAAATGGCCTCATCATTTCTCTTCCACTCAGTAAAACAAATATAAATTATATAAATATAAAATCACCATGTCATGCAATACTGGAGACACTGGACATGGACAGAGCAGCAGCTAGTGAGGCTTCCTCCCTTCATGCCAAACTGTAGGTCCTAAAAAACTTTGAACTTACTGGCAGATCAGTGTTAGCGACCCTACATCTTATGCTGAGTCCAGGTGGGAAATGCTGCCTTATTTCTCAGTCTTGCAAAAAAGCTCAAGTCTCACCCCAATATCAAAACGCAGATTAGTCTTTGAAAATACAGGAAAGGTGCAAGGCCAGGCAACATTACATAAGATTTTATTGCCCTGTATTATGTATCAGAGAAACATACAAATACACAGATTAGTTGAGTTTTAATAGATTTGTTTCCAATTTCAGTGAAATAAATGCGCACATGTCAGTGGCAGTATTGATTTAAAAAGAAATACAGTGAATATTTCAAGGGGATCACACTGCCAAAATTAGTTACACTTCACATTCCTTCGACTATAATGCACATTTGAGCTGCATGTACCAATTGTGCAGTAGGTCATTAATTAAGTTGCCGGTAGTTCTCATGTGGAAAAATAAGTGAGAAAGGTTCAATAAAAGCCAGCGCGGCTGGCATCAAAAAGCTCTAATGCCGCTTTTCACTCTTCCCTCTCTCGCTCTTTTGCTGAGCGACACGCTGAGCTGCACAAGCCGTCAGAGACAAACTCTTATAGAGACAGAGCCGAGTGTCCCTGTATAGCAATCAGGACAATGTGCTGAATGGGCAGTCTAATTATAAATGTGCCATTTAGACTTGCATTTGGTCTCCAGAACCGGCTTACCTTATGAGGAAACGTGCGTAAACAGCCACAGTAAGAGCAACTGTGCAAAACAAAATGCCACACGGACTAAAAACTTTACTTGGGCGGAGGAGCGGACTACCGAGTGTTCTTATCACTGTGGCAAAAATAATAATAGTAATGCGCGGGAGGGCTATCTTTGAGGTCTTAAAACGGGGGGGGGTGCCGGAGTTAATTACAGTGTCATTAATTAGCCACAGGTGTGTCGTTTGTGTGGAAGAAAAATGCACGTGCTCGGTGCTGAAAACACAGAAGAAGAAGAAGAAGAAGAAGAAGAAACAGAAGGGGGGGGGGTGTTTAAACTGTTGTCATAGTGGATTCCCGTCTTATTAAAATGTTATTAGAAGTCCCGAAGTAGCCTCAGAGTGCTGTTTTTTTTTTGTTGGGTTTTTTTTTACTCAGGGAGTGTGTCTAATTTTGGAAAACGTCTTAAAATGTGGGGGCACTCTACACCCGCTGCTGCCGAAATTAATGATCTTGGAGTGATATTTTAGGAAATCTTCAATTTTTCATAAACCTGCAAAATCAATTGACGTGCGTGCAAAAATAAATATTTCCTCAATGAGCAGTGTGTCTGAAATTTAAGTGCTTTTTAGTATCCTAAAATATGACCAAAATCTGGCGTCTCTAAATATCTAAAAAAAACATTTTATACTGGAAGGCCTTACTATTCATTGCTGGAACTGTCTTGCGGCAACAAACACATAAAAGGTGAGAAAATATCTCCTAATGGACACATGTACAGTTCTCACAATGGAACTTCTGTTCCGTTTATCCCGGGAGCGAGGAGCTTCAGATATTTCGGCTTAAATGGAAAACTGTCTGTTCGAGTACATCTTCTCTAAATGGACAAGCCCCGCGATTGTTGAATTTAATTTATGGCTTATGCATTCTTTTGGGGTCAATTCCCCTGACCCCCGGAGAAAGTTAAGGAAGAGCAAATTCCCAGGCTGCACGGCTTCAAGAAACTCCGAGGTTTCGGACAGGAAGAAAAAAAAAAAGATTAGTGGGGGTCTGATAACTTCAGGCAACAAAGGTTCTGGATGCACGAGGGTATAATGAGACATAAGCGGAAGGTTCAAATAAACTTGTCTACCTCACATGTGGACAGGAACCTACCGGGGCGCACGTCACTGTCAATGAACGGTACCGCTCTGTGGACAGAAGGGAAACTGCCACCAGCAGAACAAAGTTACAGGGCGCTGTAAACACGCACAGAACACCGCAACCAACCATCAAACATTTAATAGCTGATTAAGAATCAACACTCGGCAACGATAGATAGTTGAAACGTTATCGGTGGCAGCGGTCGGGGTTGGTCTAAGCGCTGCAGATTGCACCGTGCAGCCTGAGTCCGCCCGCACGCTCCCCGCTGCTGAAAGGGAGAAGAAAAAGAAGATGATTTTAAAGCTCCGAGCGATGAATCGGGCTGCCGCAGAGTTTACTTGTGATAAAGTTCAGTTAAACGCGCTTTTTACGAATTACGAGGTCACCAGAGCCACTTCCAACCAGCACTTCACGCGTCACTCTCGTCTCGCGTGTAGACTTGGCTTGTTTGAGGTGAAAGCGACGCACCAGACAGTCTCAGTGATTAAAGTTTGACAGTCATTCTCCAGTCTCAAAATGTACCGACTCGAGAAAGCTTTGCACACAGTTTACTTTGTAAAAAAATAAAATATAAAGCAATAATAGTAGTTTTAAAGCAAAACGCGCGCAAGGTTGTGTGATCGCTCGCGCTGACAGCGCGCTCGCCTTTAAGGAATCAGCAATTAAACACAAGGTGGAAATATAAGGAGAAGGAGGCATGTTGGAAAAGTAGAGAAAACGTGTTGTTTACCTTGTTGGTGTGAGCCGTGCTGATGATTGCCTACTTTTGCGTCCTTCCCCGTGCGCAAAGAACAGCAACTAGTCTCGGCTATACTTTACTGAAAATGATCACCGAGCTATCTGTTGAGCGAAAACTTAAGTCTGCTCACTCGGGGCCATAGGAGGGGATCCCGTCCACTCTCTGTGAAGTTCAGTTGTACAAAACTACAAGTACCTTTGTTAACCGTCTATCTGGTCTTTATCTCCCTCTCTCACACACTCAGACAAGAGAAGACGATGCTGTCAATCTTGGCAATCAATGCGCGCAGCCATGTCGCAAGTATTCAAAGCATTTCCCGTCGTGCAACATCAGAAAGTGAGTGGCCAGGGCATTGATCTGAGGAAGGCAAAGAGGCAGGACTCCCCCTCCTCCTCCCAGACAAGAGATACGGGAGAGAGAGAGAGAGCGAGAGAGAGAGAGAGAGAGCGAGAGAGAGAGGTGGCGAAATAAAAGTGGAGACAGGGAGGATGGCTGTTAGCTTACTGCCCGCTTTTAGTAAGTTTAATAAGCTTACTTAAATTAACGCCACTTACAAGCTACACAACAACTGAAAAGTTAAGGGCGACCTTTCCACCCCAGAGTTTTTCTTCAGTGACACTTTTTTTTCATTTGTCTCGTTAGGAAACGAGTAATTCAGCGACCCCTCCCACTTCAGTCAAAGTTTATTATAATTATTACTATTGTTTCTTAAGAGGAAAATGCGGTCATCTGTGAGTATAGGTGACGAGATCAGGTGAGCGATAGGCTGTTTTATTTTTATTTACTTAAGTTTTGTGATACAACAGCATGTATTTGTGTGAATTACATCACCGTTTAAAATATAGCAGCATTAGATTCGGTGTTCTTTATAGTTTGTCACGGTGTCCTATACGCCTAATTTTCATTTTCACACCATCCAGAAGGTTGCAGCTTCTTCTTCCTCTTCAGATTATTTCTAATTTAATTGATTGAGTCTCACATTATGCATTTTTGATTTTTTTGTGTAGATTTTAAAAAATATATTATTTATTTATTTCATCATACGCGCATTTCTTGCCAGTCAATTAAGTACATGCAAGTATTGTCACGATATATACTTACTGGAACACAAGTGAATTATTACATTTTATAAAAACGTGTCAAAAAATAAAAGACTTGTCGGTGACTGTCTTACTGTTTAAATTTACACACTTATTTCAGAATTTTGATATACATGTATATATTATTTTGTAAATAATTAAAAACAAACACACACAAATTTATATATTGACCAGTAACGTTAGAAAATAATGGAAAATTGTTCGAAGCGTTACGTTTAAGTTTTACTTTCATAAACGACATTTTACTGTAGTTTTGGTGTATTTGTTCTTAAGTTTTAACACGGAAACTAAAAATAAAATAACCATTATGTACCATCAGTACGTTAACGCAGAGCTATTGATTAGCAGGTTAGACTGGATACAGCTGAAATACAAAACACCTCATTTTTTTAAACAGATTCAGCAAATGTAAGTTGACATCTGACATTACTCAAAAATCCAGCTACTGGGACCTTACAGGCAGACCCTCACTTGCAATAACAGAAGATTTTACTGAGAGGAATTTATCTGTCACGAACAGAGCATATGTTTTAGATAATCAGCTGGGTTTGGATGAGGCCCACAGCTATCATTCAAAAAAGGAATCTCGGTAGAAACGTGCACATATTAAAAAAATGTAATTTAATTTAAAAAGAGGAGAGAGAGATCTGACAACGTTGTAGCTTTGAAAAACATCAGCAACATTTTGTGACCAGCAGAAAATACAAATAATAATAATAATCATAATAATATTAATAAAAGGTAGAAGTCCGTTAGTTAACATACCATAAGTGTCACATAATAGAAATGAGAAAGTTACTTACAAAGACAGGAGACAGCAGGAGAAAATTCTGATTGTTAACTGCAGAATGACATGAGCTGAGCTGAAAGAAGGAGGGGAAGCAGAGGAAGAGAGAGAGAGTGACAGAGGAGAGAGAGGGGGGGGGGGTGAGAGGGAGGGAGAGACAGAGAGAGAGAGAACAACTTCGCGACAGATGCGAGTCCTGAGCGTCTCACTTTCCCTTTCTTGCTGTTCCAGGTGAAGCAAAACACACCAACACCACATCTACATCAAAGACCTTCAAAATGCTCCTGTGCGCGTTACAATGCACACACTGCATGCTTTTCTCCACTGAACTTCTACAACACTGATAGCCTGCAAGTTAAGTATTAACTTTTTTTTCCCCGGCAGTGTGCGAAATGTCAAAGTTTACATTTAGCTACGAATAAATAAAGAAAGACTTACCTTTAACACTGAAACTTTTCTACTGTCACACTTTTAACCTGAGCCCCTCTTCTAAAGCTATAACGATCTGATGCACATCACCAAATTTAATAAAAATCATACAGAGTAAAAAGCTTTGCACCATAAAATTGCATATGATCCTATAACAGTCTGACACCGTGTTTTTCCGGATGCATACATGATGATTCTGTGTTGTTCCTGCTGTTAGTGTACCTTCTTTAACGAGCGGAGTTTTTTCTTTCACCGCTTGCACTTGAACGTGTGTTGGATGTGTCTCATGCGCCACCTTTTGGTCACTGTGTGAAGCTCACCTGCAAGGAAAAAAAATCTCTTTAAAGAGAGACAATCAGTGCATTTAGGGAAAACACCTTTATTTTATTTATTGATCTTTGTTTTTCAAGTTGGACGTTCAATTTTTATTTGGTTAACATTGACCAAACGGCAATAAGGAGTGCAATGGCATTACCACTGGTTTCCATTGTTGCTGCTTCAAAAGTGACAGTGTGAGTAGGGTTAAAAGAAAAAAAAAGGGTGCAAAACAATATGAGTCATTACATTTGTTTAACGTGTATTTATTTCCAGACTTTGCTCTGTTCAGTGACAGATGATTGTGCAGCTGAACAGGTGCCCGCAAGTGCCAGATAGTTCTCTAAATACAAATATAGGCTATTTTTACAGAGGTGACTGTAATGGCTTCCTCTTTATAGCTCAGATGGTAGTGCGCGAAGCCTGTGTGAAGAGCAAAAGACAGTCCAACTTGTTGGGGGGTAAGGCAGACACATTTGCATACCCTGTGAGTCTTTGATGCATCTTGAAATTCAAGTCTAGCCCATAAATATTTGAAAAGGAGAGTGCATGAAAATCAACATTTTTGTTACATTAAATTAACATGTGTTCTTCTCCTGTTCTGCATGGTTAATTAGAGAACACCATTGAGTCAGTGAGTGAGGATTGGGGGGGGGCTGCTTTGATTACACTGCAACCAGAGGAGGTTTCAAAGGTGTGCAGCTGATTCATGCTTAGGAATACAGTCATTAGTATCTCAATGAGCAGCCAAAATTATCACAATTCCAAAGGAAGATTTTAAAAGTTCTACTTTAAACCATTTACTTTTCATTCTACAGCAGTTTAGGTGTCTGTCTCTGGACATGGGATCTCCTTTGACACATACAAGTTTGTTTTAACCCCATATTTATGAGCAGTGCACAGACAATAAGTGCTTGTTGCAGTTATACGTAGATACACAGCAATTTTAAGCACTTGTTTAATATCTACACCCATGACGGGTGTATAAATGGGTAATATTTGCTTGATAATGTAGTATATAGCCCTACTTTTAATAAAAAAAAAATCTAAACAGTGCCACCTTCATATAATCCTAATCCATCTTACATTTGGAAATGTGCAGGCAGAAATGTGCAGACACGCCTTTGCTTTTCATTTTTAATGCACTTTGCAAGTAGTTGTGCATGCAGGTTTGGTGGTCTAGGTAAAAAGTAAATGCTGGTAGTTCTGCTCAGCTGTTACTTCCATGACACTGGGCGCAGTAAGTGACTCCAAAATGTTGCAATAAATACAGTTTCTTAAGTTTCTTTTCTATCTATTAATACAGTTTATATTTTGTGTTCTATAAAAAATGTAAATGTATGAGAAACTGTAAGATTTTCAGTGACTAAGACCCTTACCTACCATTGGTTAGATGATCAGTTAAAAATGCCGACAAGGTTCAGCTGTAAGTGATCAGTGTCCGCCCAACCAACATAGCTTACTGAATGCCAGATATAGCAATTAACTCAAACACTATTTGCATACATGCAAATGATCTATCCCAACTGGACTTGCAACGTGGGATGCGCTGTTCTCATTAGTTGACCCAAATCTCTTACTTGTAACTCTGGATTTCATCAAAGTTTAGTCAGGATCTAATATTTCCTTTCAAGTTAACAGCGAACCCCTGATAAATCATGTCGAAATAAGGAGTGCAACATGCCAGTTCTAATGATGTAGTGATGAGCGACATCATCACGGTGCCTGTGCCAACAACGCTACAAATGTACACATACAACTCATGTATGATGGTCAGTGATGTGCGGTACTGTACATTTAAAGTGCTTCTGAACACGTTACCTGCACTGTCTTATTTGAGGTACAGTCAGAAATCCGGTTATGCAAGCGAGTATAACACAGATTACTCCGAAGAATTTAATTTTTCCACAGCTGTTATATCTTTCAGTAAAACACATTTTTCAAGCTGCAAAGTAAATGTCCTACCATTTTAATGCTGATAGACTTATTAAAAAAATTTAAATAGTGATATGTCATGATCTTTTTGTTACGTAGCTCTGAAGATCCAAGATGCACAGCATTCTCACTGAATGCAGTAAATTTCACTTATTTAAGTGTGTATGTGTACACGGAGCTGCTAGACTAAAGACGAGGCCCAGGGGCATTTGGTTCATTTGCAAAGTAATTGCTTTTATGTACAAAAAACTCATTCACTGTAGGTATTGTAAAAGCTTTCCGTTTAGGGAAACATGAGATTAATTCATTGTTTAGCGTAACACAGCACCTTTTCAACATTCACTTAATGATTCATGTTGGAGGAATTGTGTTGTCTATAATAGGCCAATAAAGAAATGCCTCAATACATAATAAACATTTGTACCTCTCTGATGATCCCATCGTTTTAAAAAAACATTAAAAAACTAACAAAGTGGCTTCAACATAAAACAATTCAAAAATAGGAATTGTTTTCTTTTTGGGGAAAGCTGGGCCAATGCGGTGCAGCATGAATGTTATTCAGCTTTCCCTCTATTCTTTGTATAGCGTGCACACACGTTGGGAAGAATATTCAGTGATTCCTAGCTCTTCAATTATTCAACAAATTCCATTTCTTACATATTAAAAAATGTACCGTATGTGGAACTTGAAAATGATAAAACAGCATAAAATACTATTTTGAAATCAAAGCACCTATTGCATGGGCTTTCTTGGTTTTGTATTTGTACAATTGGACTACAATCCGGATCCCCACAGTGTGCAAAGGAGGCACCAGCTGGGTTTTCCACTGTAGCCTAATTCTTATTCACTGTAACAATAATATTTATGTGATTGAAATAGGTATCACTGGGAATCGCAGGCGGATTTCTCCTTTCTTCTTCATGTCACAGGAAAACTATGAATATGTTACAAATGCATTGTGCGCTGTAGTGAAGAACACAGACCTGAGAACAAGGTCAGACTGCTCAGCGTGGTGTCAAGAGGCTCTCTCTCTTTCAAGCAAAGGCCTTTAAAAAAAAAAAGCAACAAAAAGTCAAAGCCTTAACCTAATCAATGTCATCTGAAGAGCACTGTAAACACTTGCGCGAGGCTCTTTTATGCTTGGATTTTAAGTGAGACATTTTATTTTCTTGTATAAAAGCTACTCTCTAGCAAACATTTCTGTCAGGACGCTGAGCAGCGGTTTTTCTTCTTGTGGAAAAAAAAAATCACTTCTGAAGCCAGTAAGTATTTAGTAAAGGATTAATGCGGGAGGCCTTGATTGCGTTTAACAGAACAGGACCCAATTAGCATAATAGGCCCTCTTTCATTCTCTTTGAAGTCCAGAGCATAGAATAACAAATGTATATGAACCGCCAGCCAAACGTCAATACATGGAAATGCCACAATCCTCGGTGGAGGGTCTTGGGTGAATTTTTTGCAAGAGGAGGGGAAAACATCCCATCTTATTGCAAAATAAGCAGAACAGTGGATGTGATTGGTCTTCTAGCCACCAGGGCCAGCGTGCTCTGTGGGGCCCTGATCCTGGAGGATCAAGATGGAAGCAGAAAGGATGTAGCTGCTGGAGGGTGGGGTGGGTAGGCGGGGGGTGCATCCCCTCTCTCTCTCAGGTGTTTTTAAAGCACACTGTGATGCGGATGAGTAAAAGTAATTACTCTCCAATTAAAGATAAAGATGTCACTTGGGAGGGAGCTGCAACACAAAGGCTCGCCATGCAGAGGAGGGCGAGGGCAAAGTGTGCGCATCACATCCTACAGCTGCAGCGGGACGAGTCATGATAAATGTAACGTGATAAATATTTGTGCTGGAAACTGCAGTACTTGGTAATAACGGCGCAGTTGAGCTTTCCATTTAAAAACATATTCTCTGCATTATTTTTCCTTTTGAATCCGAAGTTCAACACATGCATTTCTCAGAGGTTTCTTTTACAATTGCAATGGAGACGTAGTTCATGATTTAAAGATATGAATTCTGTACTTCAGAATCCAGAGTTATTAGTATCCACCTTCTTGGTTGAAAATACACGGAATTAAAAATGCCCTTTTGAGATGGAAAAAGCTTTGAACTTAAGAAACATTTCAAGAAGCCTCTCTCTTTCTTTTTTTGTATTGGAAGTTCACCTCCTTTGAGCATGCCATAGTTTGGTTCCCTTTTCAAATAATAGAATGAAGTTTAATAGGTCACGGCAATCAATGTGAAGGTTCAAAGAGAATCTTGGAGCGATGCAGATATATTTTGTAATTTCCCTTTGTACATGATTTGAATAAAGATACAGTCAATAAACGGCATCAGTGAAATCAAATAAAGACCAAAGGCTCCTGTAGGTTAAAAGCTAAAGTCACAAAATGTGTTCGGTTCCTGCCGTTTGAGGTTCTCAAACGGGGGGAGAATAAACTGTCCATCACTGCAAGAACTTTTTTTAAGGTACCTCTTTCACATGTCAAAGGTAAAATCAGGTCTGAACTAGTTGTGGAGGAATACCAACATCCCACAGGAAACATCAGCTAAAACAACTTTAGTGTCTTCAGAGATGCTCTCTCTCTCTCTTGTACAGTGTGGCAGCTACTGTACAGAAGACTTTACAGCCATATTACAGCTTTGCCCCTGGTATTTCTGCAGTGGGCTGATTTGTTTGGGTGAACACACCACTGAGTTTTGATATTTGGTGTAACATCAAAAGGCGATGCCAGCTGTGCCACAAAGACCTGCGCCACTAATGCGGCAAGGGAAATGTTTCATAAGTCGTTTGCACTCATAAGCTCCAGATAATGTTGCGAGAAAAAAAGGATGGGGACACTGATGCACTTTCTCGTACTCAGCGGGAGTCTGCTTGAAAGTGCTGAAATGCTCTGTTTGGATTCAGGACACTGAATTCTGCACTAACCTACTGCGCTATTCTCCGCAGAGGCACAATCGAACATCACAGGGGCCCACTGTGTCAGGGTGCCTTAGCCTACTCTAGCAGACATTTGGGTATTTGTTATGTCTGGAGAAGTCGAGCGAAAACCGCGGTAGAGTTTTAAAGTTCCCTTGAAAAAAAACAAAAGATTTTTACATGTTTTTGTATGTAGTCTGAAGCTTGAGGCCATTGTACGTGGTGCTCGACTCATTCGAGCCAACCTCGCAGAAATAAAATCAATGAAATGAACACATGTGCGACAAAGCAAATGTTGTGTTAATAACTTTAATATTCACATTTTTTTTTTATAAACTTTCATTGCTCGACCTTCTCAAGTCACACAAAAAATATGTTCGAGGTTATTTTCATCCCGATGTAAGCAAAAATAAAATTTATTTTGGCAAGCCTAAAGGGGACTGGCAGTGCTACAAGTACATACATATGAGATTTCAAGTGGTTTGGTTTAAGAATATTATCTGAGTGTTGACAAAAATACTATCATCGTGACGCATTTAGTACCTTCTCGCTCTTCACATTCCATTTGAGTTTTCCAGTTGCGATCACACTGCAAGAAGCAATTCAGTCGTGTCTTGAAAATATGATACAGTGCACAGTTAAAAGTGCGATAACTTGTAGAAAATGTCATTTTACTATTATGAGATTAACATTTTTTTTTTAGACATTTCCATATTTGATAAGCACAGCCGCACCCACAGCGAAGTCCTCAGGTTTTCTATAGAAAGTTGCTTTCAGGAGCTTTGAAACACCTCAGTTAGTTGTTGCTGCATACATCTCAGAGAGCAAGTTCAAGGCGTCGCTACCGTTTTTCTGTTGCTGCATATAAAAATGTCCCGAATCAAACAAAAATCCTCTTTGCTTTGAAAACCCAGTGGATTGTTGTCAGTGTGAAATAGCACCTCAGTGTCCAGAAATTGCTTGAGCTGGGAAGTGATGAGAGAGAGGAAAAAGTAAGCACAAGGAAAGTAAATATCATAAACACAATAAAAACAAAAAACTACAAAATTGGATAAAGTAACAGTGTGTTTCAGTTTTTTATGTTGGGGTGGGGTTACTTAACAGTCCCTTCTTAAAAAGTAGCTTTGTAAAGATATAACATACCTGCACATTATTAAAGGGCAGTTAGAGGCCAATCATTAAAGGTATTATCAGACAGCGATAATAACAGGGCTTTCACCGCGGTGCATGCATAACTTCATGCTGCCCAACATGCAGATTAAAACTAACATGCAAAATGTTACATGCGAGGGGTTTTTGTGAAGAAACAAGTGCCGTGCATGTAATATTCTTAACTTTCACAACCCGACTGCGCATTAAAGCTCACCTCCGAAAGCAAACCCAGAATATAAAGAAAGCATGCAGCGACATGAGTAGATAGTATCTCACATCCACATTGTGCAGTTCTGAAAAGAAACTATTCCACGCTTTCAGAGCCACATGAATGCTGCATTGCTCTGCAAGTTAAAGTTCATATACGTGTTTGTTATTGCGAGTGTTCGTTTACTGTTTTGGGATCTGATTATTTTACGTGCGTCTATTTGTCAAAAGACGGCTGATATGGTTAGTACAGGAAAAATAACTTTAAACAGGAAATAGCATTAAAATATCTGTGGCATCAAGTACTGGGTGATGGACAGAAGTTTTTTGTTTTTTTTTAATAAAGCAGTGAAATGACACGAGCTTTATTTGTGCATTTACAGTAACAACAGTGATATGTAGATTTTCTTCTGCCAGGCTACAGATGGGGAGCTAATTGGTGCTGAGGAATGCAGCTGTGCTGACTGCTGAACTGTCAAGGTGCTAAATCAAAAGGTGTCTCTTTTGTTAATTATACACAATGCTACAAACAGTCGTGTTCGTTTGAGCCCTTTCTTTGCACAGCCATCCATAAATATTTTGGCAGTGGTACAAAAAAAAATTTACACACAATTATCACAGTGGGATGAGCAGACTGCCTGCAGATGTTTGTTTTGATTATAATGGGAGCAGAGGCAGGGCTTCCCTAACCTAGAGGAGATGTGTTTCCGACAATCACGACGGCGCGGTGAGCATGCGGCGAGGTGCGAAGCACGCAAGAACACCTTGTTTTGGGGGAATTAGCAAGAAGCATTAGCACCGCAAAGCGTGCACTTAGGCCTTACTTCATGTTTCTGACTAGACAAATGTGTAGTGAATTCCGTTGTTCAGAGGAGAAGGAGGCGCCAGAGAAACGGGAGGAAGAGGAGGAGGTGGAGGAGGGGGTGGGGGAGGAGGTGTTAGGACGTTAACCTGCGGAGGAACTATGGAGAGAGGGCAAGGGGGGGGGGGGGGGGAGAAGGAACATTTGTTGTTAGAAGCCAAAAGAGTGAAATAGTTTCATATTCATGTTTTCCTGAAAAGAAATATAAGCATGAAACTTTTTAACTGTACTTACAGTTTCTATGTTGTGCATCTATTACACTCGGGATGGGAAATATGGATTAGTCCAATAACACTACTTATGGTTTTTTATTGTATTGGTCTTCTTAAATGTTAAAAAGATTTTTCGATAAAATTGGATCAGTTTTGGGGAAAATTTTAGTCATTTCAAACAGCACTTAAACAAATTAATAGTGCATTTTTTAAACAATAGTGAATACATGCATGTATATATACATATACATATCACCCAACTTCAATAGCAATGAAGTATACTAAAGAAATCTGAAAATGTAGATGTAAATGCAAATGTAAAAAAATGTTTTTTAATAGGTCATCATAACGTGATTAGGACTGGTTAATATTCATTTTTAATTAATCTGCTTATATACAAAAAAACAAGAGGCACTGAACAAGAAGATAACTTTGTAGCTCATTAATCATTTCCCTGTACAAAATTACAGATTTGACGAGATCCAATGAATACAAAGAATTTTAAGAAATCCAACAATGAAAACATCTTTGCAATAAATACCACACGTATGTGATATTGCAGTGACGGATATTCCTGCTTTTATGCTGGAGTTACTGATGTCTCTCATGCATAATACTATGGAAAAGACTCTTCTTTTAATTCAAGGATTTGAAAGTGCACCAACATACCTCACTTTAACACCAAAGGAAGAGAAAGTCATTGATTCAGTCTCCACTGACAAGATGCCACCAGTTATATTCTCTGGCATTTCTCTATGCTGGAAATAATGTTATAATTGTTGACTTTGCTTCACTGTGCATATTAAACTTCCTCACACGCTGACAGCTTGAGTCTTACCGTGTGTGACAGATATATATGTGTGTGCATAGGTGTGTGTGTGTGTGCGTGCGAGGCAGGCAGACTGACAATCTGCTGCAGCTACAGTGAAAATTAACTCGCCTGTCTGCTGTAGAGTATGAAAGAGATGAGATGTGGGCGCAGTGTCTTTTATGCAGGTTCAGAGCTACGTTCAAAGCGGCAGCAACAGTATGCAGATGTGGAGTAGAGTTTGACTGGGTCATTGATCAGATCACAAAATGGCCTCATCAAGCGATTCCTCCCCAGCCTAAAAGATCCTACATGGATTGCAATTAGAGACTATCTTAGATCCTAGTAAGGAATAACGCTCACTTATTAGGAAATGAACAGCCTTATTGCTTGACTCTGCACCTTACGCCCCACCTCATCAATCCAGAATTCTTGAAAGACTGCTTCCCTCTCTCTTTATCCCTTCTTCAACAAAAATATGTCAATATGATCCCAGAAGGAATTCCACTCAAGCCGTCAGCTTGAGTGGAATTATTATTTTTTTTCAGCATTTTTTTTTTTTTGCAATGATTTTTCACACTCACGGTTCAAATAGGCAGATAATGGTTTCAAATTAGATGAGAGACCAACCTGCAACAAGTTTGCTCTTGAGCGAAGCCTCTGAGGCGAGAGCGTAGGACATGGTGATGATCCGCTCCTGTTCCTGCAGAGCTGAGTCGAGCGCCACTGGCACCTCTTCTGGCTTCTCCGCAGACACCGCTGGTGCTAGGTTTTGCACACTGTAAAAGAAAAGAATGAAAGCAACAAATGAACAAAAATCTCACACACCATAGAAATGTGGAAGGACCCTAGAGGGAGGTCAGAAAGAAGCCTGAGATATACCAAACTGTCCAAAAATCTTGGACACCCCTCATTTCTTTATATTTTGCTAGGAATATAAGCAATAGGTGCTGTGACCTAATCAAACATGATTTTATGAATGAAGATATTCAAAGCTCCTGCTTGGATGTCGGTTGACTTTTGTCCTATTCCCTAGATCACTGCTTCAGTAAAGTTGAAGCTCTGTGGAGGCCAATCCATGACTGATGATGCCATCAGTCATCAATCATGCTTTTACTGCACTGACAGTGTGTTTGGGATCACTGTCATGCTCAAAAATAAAGAAATTACAAATCAGATGCTTTCCAGATGATAGTACATGGTGAATCAAATTCTGATGGTTCTTTTCTGATTGACATTTCCATCTAATTGAATAAAATCCTCACTAACACTGGCTGAAATACAGCTTCACATCATGACAGAGCCTCCACTGTGTTTTACACGCACTCACTTTTGTAAATCTCAAAGTTTGTACCTTGCATATGGTGGAGTAGGATGTGAAACAAAAATTTCAAATTTGAATCAATCTCCCTATAATACCTGTTGTTTCTGGGTTTCAGTCCAGTTCTTGTGTAACTTGGCATACCTCAGTCTTTTCTTCCTCTTTCCCTTCCTTAGGAATGAAGTCCTGATGGATTGAAAGGACATATGCATCTCTCCTGTGTCAGGTATTTGATGGATTTTTTTCCCTTTTTCTTAACGGTATGACTTTCAGATACTGTTATTCTGCTGTAGATAGCTTTTTAGTTCTGACAAAGCATCTTAAATGTTTTAAGGACACTCTGTGCAACATGCATGATATGCATACCTTGGCTAATAATTCTTTGGGAATTACCTTGTTGGTACAAGAACACTTTTTTATGACACTCAGACTGTGTTATCTGTGGCATTTTTGCAGATTCTATTAAATAAATGAGAATAAATTAGGCTGCTAGTAACAAAGCACCTAAAGATACAATTTAAAAATGTGTCTTCCAAAGTTGTTATGTGTAGAAACAAAACTGAATAATACCTTGAGTTAGGTTGCTTTAAAAAAATATTCGATTCATATACATCAGTGTTAAATGGCCTAACAAAAAACACATCCTTTTACAAATGGTGAGGTACAAAGACTTCACTGAAAATGAGTAAAAACGCAGCCAGTCTGTAAAGAAAAACTTTGAAAGAAAGGCTGTTTGTTGCTCAAGATCCTTAAAAAATTACAAGAAAGCCTGAATCCTAGGGTCCAAAATATAAAGAAATTAGGGGTGACTCAATGCTTTTTTTTTACAGTCCTATAGTCCAGAATCTTCAGGGCCTTGAAACTGATTGCATTTGCTTGACTAGTAGTATGGAAAAACTACTCTCCTAAAACATCAGAGTTGAGTAACACTCCAATGTAACTTCAGGGTTTATTTAGTTACACTTCATCTACCTGGACTTTGCCAAGATGCTTTTGATACGCTCCACCTTACGATGACGCTCCTCCACTTCTTGAGGACTGAGTGGCTCCTCAGGCTCCGAGTCCACGTAGCGCTCTGGAATCGACACTTTCTGAGGTTTGGACAGCTAGAACACAGATGCGGCGTGTGAATTAAGATGTTTGCCAATTTATTGTGATCTCTACTGTGAGGTCAAAAATGATATACGAGTTCACTACGCAAGTTGAAGATTTGTAATCCTGAAAATGATCAAATAAGCATAGGACAAACTGTAATAAAATATGGAGACTAAATATGCAGAGATGTGCCCTGAAGTATCTTTAAAATGCTATTTTCATTTTAGTACAGGCAGAAAGTTTCAGCACTTGTATAGCTTCACACAATGACGTTTATCTGTCGCATACTAATGCATACTTTATACCGCCAGCATCCAGCCTATAGCTCATTTCTTCAATACCTATGTAGAAACAGTGCTGCAATACTTTCTGATGCTTTTTCCATAATTTCAGCAGCAAGTTTGTCAGCCAGTCTAATCAGGCTGCCTCAGGACAGCATTGTGTAGGAAATTATTAATTATGTGCCACGTTTGCTGGTGCAGGTGCTGTTTATCTGTTGCTCATTTTAACATATTCTTTAAACATGATAAAACCTTTCAGTATATGCCTTTTAGGGATTCATCAAAATATCAGTGGAACATCAGTATCGACCAGTATTGACTTCTACCAGCCAATCAGCAAAAAAAGACGAGTGACATTTATTGATTGGAAATCTGTTGTGTCCCATTTGATACAGTTAGGTATTTTTAAAATCAAGTTTATTTTATTTTCCTCAAAAATTGGAGAGAAATACCGAGAAAAAGTAAACAAACAGAAAAAAAATGTCATCTGAGAATTTAAAGATCAGCAGCACAATCCACGAAATCCAATCCATGAGAATATTAAAAAAAGGGCTTGGTTGTGGCGCCTCCCATCATTTTAAATATTCCTTCTGTAAATATTTCTTTTTATTCACTTTCAGTATTCATTTTATAAAAGAAAAACTCCTTTTTGGGGTGAGTAGCCTCCTTTTTAACGTTCAGTGCACTGTTTTCCCCCTTTCATGTTATTCCTATGTTGACATTTTTCCTAGTCAGCTGTATTTCTTATTTTTAAAAAATGAAAAAAAAATACCTCTTTGTTAAGGTCCAGGTCATAGTCCAGAGGTTCCAGGTCAACCTCATGGGTGGGAGGGGGGGTTGTGGCCATGGAGCGGAAGGTCAGCCATTCATCCGAATGCGAGCGGGGTCTCTCTTTGTGCTCGGGAGGTCTTTCCTCCCCCTGGACACTCCTAACTCCCTGAGCCTCCTCCCCCTGAACCGCCCTCTCGAGTAACTGCAGGTCAAACTCCTGCTCTCTCTTCCACTGGACAACGCACACAGGAAAAATGTAGACTGTGAAACAAAGGACAGGGTGCTGCCACCAAGTTTTCTTGACTAAAAGAAAAAGTGAAACTTCTTTCACTTGCCTTCGTGGTTATATTCATGGCACACATGCTCGTCCTATTCCTAACATGATATTAAAGATTGCAGAGGGTTTTTACTTGCAATGTACAATGTCCAAATGTGTGTGTGTGTGTGTGTGTGTGTGTGTGTGTGTGTGTGTGTGTGTGTGTACAAGTGTGAAAAGGTAAAAAAAAAGAGGGCACATGCATAAATGAGTATGCATGCTGATATGAAAGATCTCAAAACACAGCATGCTAGAACTCTACAAGTGTGACAAGAACACAGCACTTCACTCAAACTGATGACAAATTCAACAAACATAAGAAAGTTATACATGTTTACAGAAAAAAATGCAATAAATTAAAAAAAAAACATGCCAATGACTTCTTTAGAAAATATTTTTTATTTTTTGCAGTCACATTTGTAAAAGGAAGGATTCCTCTAGCCAACAGTAATTAGCAGATAAAACACTGAGCACATGATGCAATCACCTAACTCACTGTATGTTGCGATATGTAATGTGCTGTTAGTATCAGTACATCAGCATTGTGCAGGAAAAGTGTTAAATGGGACAAGAGTTGGTCCCAATCTATAAAACATATGATTTCAGTTTTATCTTCATTTAAATTTAAAACAAACAAAAAAAAAATCAGGTGAGAAAAATGGTGCGATGACATTGACAAGAGTGGGCTTAAGAATGTAATGCTCAGTACGTAAATGTTTTGGTCAGTAGAATATAAGTAGGCACTTTCCTTCTCTCTGCCTCACACACACACACGCACACATGCAGACACACATATATGGACAGCAACAGCATGGACACATGGAAGAGCTGGCTTTAATATCTACACGAGGAGAGACAAGACGGCTGCTATGTGACAGCACAAAACACTTCAACGGGTTAGAAATCAATGTGGTAGGATAGTGTTGATGTGAAAGAAAAATGAACAGGTCAGTGAGGAAGGGTGAGAAGTGATGGATAAAGCAAAGTTAGAATCCATAGCAGAGAAAAGGGAGAAATGCAGTGACTGAGGTCATTAATATGTTATATGTTTTATAGCCAAGATCTCATCTTGTAAAGATTTTGAAAAAGAAAACAAAATCATTACTATTTAATGTAAATGTTATTATCTGCACCTCATAATGAACACTTAAACAGTTATATATGTGTGCTACTTTTAATGCTGCAGTTTGTTGTAGACCAGAAACGTATCTCCTTATCTGTATAGGTCTTTTTTACCGAAACGCATTTAGGACAAGCACACCAGAAAGGCACTTGGAGACCACATTCTCCTCCTAAGTCATAATATTTTTTTCTTAAAGGGATCCAAGTCTGCAACTCAACTGAATGGGTTCTTTAGGCCAAATGACTTTGGCGAAAAAGACCTACTGAAGCCTGAAAACAACACGTGCTGAATAAGCAGAGATAGAGCCACACAGTGAAATGCCATACCGCACTAACTTAATAGTTTAATATAAACTTGGTAACAAGAGAAGCAGAGACGAGACCCACTGCACTCAACACAGGCATGCATTACTGCTGTAGACCGCCACTCTCAGTTTGGTTGTCGTCGTGCGTGAGAGTGTGACGTGTGATGCTGCTCTAGTAACATACTGATCCCAAGTCTGCTGAAAGTGGGCGTGAGGATGACGTGCGTGACGACGAAGCGGCGTGGCGGTCTCCGTGACTCAGGGTGCGTTTGCGCTGGCGGACGAGAGCCTTCTGGTGCCTCTTCATCCTCTCCAGCTGCTCATCAGCACTCATCTTCCCCCTCTGCTGCTGCTGCGCCGGGTCCACAGCGTACAGACGCTCCAAGGCACTTTTTGGTCTCTCCTGAGACGAGTGGGAAGAGAGAAAGATGATAACAAGAGCAAACACATGGCAGACTTTAGACTGGTGGAAATATGACTAAAATAGCATTTTTTTAATTATACAGTGCTGTTAAATTGCTTTTAAAATGCTTGATTAAGTCTTATTAATATTATAAATGAATATAATCTGGGGTTGGAGTGACATGTGCACTCTGTTGTTACCCCCACCTTTATGCCCACTGCTGACGTTGCTCTTCGGAGGGTAACGTATGAGGAGATGCTCGAAGACTGATTTAACCTAAGTGAAGATCCGCCTGTTCCTGAGGGGAAGACCACAGATATTAGAAGTCTGTTCTCATCTTAAACAATATTCTAAAGCATTTTGGCGGGATGAACTGACTGTTGTCTATGTACCTCTGCTCGGTAATGTCTTGTAACCTCCGTCATGCCCAGGTGTTACAACACTAATGTGACTGGAGCCATCACCAGCTCCCATGAGTTCTGGATCACTCAGGAAAGGCCTGAGTTCCACCTGACATATACGAGTGGATTTAAATTAGAAACAACATGACATTAAAAATGCAAACACAGCAATACACACAAGCTCTGCGTACCTTGCCGTCCCCGTTTGTGTACTGCCCAGTCTCTCGGTCCCTTTTACGTTCGTCTGACTGACGTTTGAGGCCACGTACAGAGGTGTGTCTGATGACTGTTGTCTCCCGGGGCAAGGGAGGCACAGCGGGGGGATGCTCATCGGGACTGTAGAGCTGAGGTAGAGGAGGTCTGGGAGGCACATCTTCCTCATTCTGCGCACAGAATAAATGTGAACCACTGAAAACAACTGAAGAAGGACTCTAGCCTTGCAAGGACCCCGAATACCAAGATGAAGAGTTCCTGAGCAAGTAACTCTATAGACTGTAGAGCCTGATGACAGTGGCCATGACACAGATTACACAGTATACAGTCATAGAAATGCTGTTACACTTTGACTTCCATCACACATTGGTATAAACAAAGCAGGATTAATGACAAAGATAATACATTTCCAAAACGTTTAAACTTTGAAATACACATTAATTATTTTTCTGCACTTAATAATCCATCAATTTTCTTGACTGCTTATCCAGCTAGTGTCACTGCAGCTTATTCCAGCTGAGATTAGGTGAGGGAGGCAGTACACCTTGGACTCAGGGAACAGATTCAAAAAAATTAACCTAACCTAGAATTTTTTTTCGACTGTGGAAGGAAACCAGGGAAAACTGACCAAATCCACAGACTTCAAGCCTAAACCATAATACAAAGTTTGCATTTGGTCACAATTTGGTAAGCAGCAATTTTCAAAATTGTTATATGATTGCAACATAAGCACGTGGCAATTTTTCTTTAAGATTCCAGTAACACTACAGACAACACCTGTGATGTTATGCACAGTTTGGATAACTATAATTAGATTAAATATAATAGTTTTTAACAGTTTTGGAAATTTTGTCACAAATGTAATATATCTTAGTTTATCTTGTAATGTTGATTAAACGGGGCTCAGTGTTACTTTTATACATTTGTCTTGCACAATTTAAAAAGCAAATTGAGAAAATTACATCTTAGCTTATCTTACAACAAATTATTCAAAAACACCAAACACTGAGGTTACAGCCCTAACTGCATTTTTCTTGTTCCATTCCAGCTGGGCGTACTTGAATTGAATTGAAAGCCTTTATTGTCATTATACATAGTATAAGCTCTATAAAAGTGAACTGAATGTCATCTTCTTAACTCACTCAGTTTGTTTTATGCAAAGATGCATGAGCACCAGCAAAAATGTTTACTTACATTTATTACTTGGCTAATTAGTGGCCAAATAAGGTAAATATTCACTTTTTTTCTTGGACTTTTGGACATTATTTCACATTTCTCTATTTCCTGACACTTCATTCAGTTCATTGATCAACAGGGGTAAATAGACTCATTTTAAGGAAAGTGCTAATGGCTTGTTGAAAACCTCCAACTAGAAAAAAGGGAAGTTGAAAATCACAGACTGCAAAATGCACTTCTGTGTATTTAACCAACCAAAGCTGAACACACAATTGCAGAGAGCACATGATTAAACAAACCAACACAAACCAGCTTAAGTTTACTCACTTACCCACTTAGGCCCACTGATGACAGCTGTAGAATGGTGTAATGGCTGCTGGCTGAGGCTAGAGGAAAGGGTGGGGGTGTGGCTACTGGGACTGAGGTGGGGGCTGTGCTGCTGCTGCTGCTGCTGCTGCTGGGACAATCTCATCTCCATAGCAGACGCGCTCCCAGACACAGAAGGCACTGATGACACTGACACCGAAGGCACAAATTTCCTCTCTGGGGAATATGATGCGCATGATCACATGACAATAATACACACATGCTGTAAAGACAGCACTTTTAGTTTCCTATGGGAAACATTCAAGGGATTGGTAACAAAAATATGACTGCAGGCTTTAATGAGAAGATACAGTCGCAGGTCCACAGCGATTTGCTTTGTAGACATGGAACCTATAGCGCTTGCCTCACCTGGGTTGGTAACAGAGGAGATGGTGACTTTGTAGTTGGCTTTACTGCTGCTGAGACCTGCGATAACATCCTCAATCCTCCAAAGCTCCTTTCTGATCTGGACCTTCTCTTGCTGCTCACATAGAAACACAGAACCACACACACACACAGACGCATACAGACACATTTTCATATTTTACAGATTTTAATTAGAATCCAACACACGATCCTCTGAACCAGTTCTTTGCTTTGTCTGAGTATATGACATCAGCAGTATTTAGCTCATTCCCATTCAAAGCGAGCGACTGCTTGTGGGAGTTAATTGAGATCACTGAGCCACAGACCTGAGAAAGATCACAGCGGCTCATCTGTCCCTGCAGGGCCGACTTCAGCCAGTCCACGTCCCTCTCAAGCTGGCTGTACTCATTCCATGCATTTTCCATCTCCTAAAGAACAAAACACATCACGCTCTGTGTTACAATGCCAAAAAAACAGTGTTCACACACTGTACTTAGCTTGTGAATAAAAAGCTGTTTTAGTGGCGTGTATGTGAGCTGCAGTTAAGACCAGGTGTGTTAAGTGGTGATTTTTATGATTTATCACTTCTTCTTTTTTTTTTAAATTGCAGTGTGCACTGACAGACTACAACCAATGCCTGGAAATGTCTTTAAGCCAAAGACACATTTGTTTGCTTTCATGTAATCTTGCGGTTTATTTGTGAATGTTCTTTTGAAACTTGTAATTTTCATTTCAACACTAAATATTTTGAATATCAGTGAACTTTTTGACCAAATATTTTTTTTTTCTGAGTGGCTGAGAAATCTACTCATTTCTTTGTAGCCGTAGGTTTGTCCCTAAGCACTCATTTTGATAGTGACAGTCATCCTGAAACATTGTGCCAGTTGCAGAAACCATAAAAAAGGAACAACTAAAAATAGAAGCGAACATCTTGTTTTCAACCAATAAAACATTTCTTTAGTAGCATGTGCTTACTGTAAGAGCCTGAGTAGTTTGATCCCTTACCTGCCAAAACATCAGTGTCAAATGTCAAAGCAAGGTTTTTCAAAAAACGGTACTAGCCGAAAACTCATTTTATCTCAAAAATGGTGTACAGGGTTTCCTTAAACAATGAGAGGAAATAAGTAGTAGAGAACAAAAGAAGAAGAAGTGGTAGGGCAAAAAAGACCTATCTATAGCAGATGAATAATATCTGAAAGCCGTGCTCTTAAGAAAATAATCTAGAAAACAAATCAAAGACCCGACACAGGACATGAAACATACATCTGGTCCTTCTGCTGTACCATCTCCTGTTCACTGAAGCCTGAAATGGTCTCACTGGAAGGGTAGCTGTCATTTGTTTTGCACGGCAATGATGCCAAACACACTGCGAGTGTAGCAAAAGCATACAGATATAAAAATCACACAAAAGAACACTATCGGTCACGGATTGGTCTCCCCAGAGCCCAGAAATCAACATTACTGAAAGACTGTGGGATCATCTGAACACGGAACGGAACAAAAGGGATCCAACAGCCAAAGAAGACCTTTGACCTTTGACCTATGTCCTTCAAGAAGAAAGATATCGTTCCTAAGAGAGTTCAGACTGTGTTGAACAGTGGTCATACCAAATATTGACTTTCAAAATTTTTAAAATTGTGCAAACTCTATATTTCCACATATGTACATGTTTGCACATGCTTCAATAAATCAGTGCACCTATTTCACATTTTCATAGGAGAATATGAAGAAATGAGAGTTGGATGAAAAAGTCTGAGCCAGTTTCACTGAAGAAGGAGGCTGTAGTTTTTGTCATAAGCACAATGGACTTGCAAATCCCGGGTCTTACTGTGGATACTTGAGATATTTCAGCCCTGATATGGACCACGTCCTCTTGTAGTAATTTCTGCTGATAGGCAATTTTCTCAGCATGAGCTGGCTGATCTCTGTAGTCCTCCATCTGCTGGTGGGAAACATCCAGCACAGATTCTAACTTGTCCTACACCAGGGGACGATAACATTGTCATAAACACGTAAGCCTTCATAGACCACACAAGAATACAAACAAATATATACAACTCAAACCTTGTCCTCTTTCAGAGTGCGTATCCGGGCCTCTAGCTCCTGTAGAATCTTGTCTTGTTCACACAGTCGACTTAATTTCACCTAAAAGAAAACATATTGAAACAGTGAGAATGGAGGAAAACTCAGTTCTTCCTATCGCTTCTGATAATACGGCAGAGTGTAGACAGAAAATAAAGAGATAAAACAGTGCCTGAGATTTTTAGATACGGCTTCTGTTTGCAACACCGTTAAACTTTTCCATTCTTGCCTTTGTTCAACTCTATTCCACAATGCACCCAGATAAGACAAATTGATCGTCTCAGTCTGTCAATACGGCTCATCTGTGTAAAAAGCTCAAAGGAATTCCTCTCATCGGTGCACTGCCAGATATCAAAAGCCTCTATACTATCTAGTTTGGGGGTGAGCTCTGGTAATACCCATTATGAGTAATCATAATCAAGAATCCATATTTTCAATTCACTTTTGGAGAAAGCCGTGTTTACAGAGAGTGACAGATTTGTTTTCCCAGAAATGGGTTATGTGTTTATGAAAACAACATAAGACTGCCTAGTTCACAGTCTTTCTCAAACAGTGTTTTTTTCTTCTCAGATCTATTTATCATTCTGTTCAATTAATAATTAAGCTGTTTTTATTTTCGCTGCCACATATTGTTGTTTTTAATTGCATGAAATATTCATTGTTCCGATAAATTTACTGGCAATTTCTTATAAATTGTTAAAGTGGAACAATGCTAATGATGAAAAGCCAGGACATCCATCTTATTTACCTCTATTCAGCAGAAAACAAAGAATGAGGAAAGCAGAATCTGGGAAATCAAACTGAAAAATTTAACAGCTCAACATCTAAAACTCCCATTACATGTATTTTTCCCTTTAAATTGCAGGGAGGAAAATAAAAGCTGTGGTCGATACTCTCAGGCCCTCACTGTGCTGCATGGATGGGTGTCCCCACAGTGTTGCAACGCAAATACGTTCCCTTCCCTCTACAGCCTCTGTTTACCACAACTTAAGAACACACACGCAGGCAAACCACACTAAAACACACAGTAAAGTCAGACTAAAGTCAGCTGCTTCTCTGTAGTGGATTGTCAGAAGTCGGAAACAGAGATCTTAGAGGGGAAAAACAGAGAAGGATAAACAGGGTGCTTATCTGACTGTTTTTGTAAATCCTGAGAACAGAATGATTTACTTACATCAGCATCACTTTCTGCTATTTTCACAGGCCTTGATGGTCTTTCTTTCTTTAAACTGTCACGTCCAGTAACCTAAAGTTGAACGAATGACAAAATAAAAAACTGATACATATTTCTAGTTTACAGATAATGGGACTGATACACAAGTTAAGCCGAGTTTACTAAGGAGGAAAACAAAAGAAAAAAAAAACTGATACAAAATTGAAAAAAAAAAAACTTATTATAGCTTCGTTCAAACATTTATGCAGATAGAGTTTCTACATCTTTGTGTTTGGAAAAACCCTAAAGCTCTTACGCTGCTATTTACAGGATGCTTATTACTGTAACTTAACAAACAACTCCTTAATATAACCAGTATGGGAGAAAAAAGTTTTTTTCAGATTTTGTTTTTCACATCCATGGTTTTGAATGGGAACGTTTTTAAGTGGAGACCTAACAAAGGCGTTGATTATTAAAATGCTCCTCAGCCTCCCTGGGAAAGTCTATGCCAGAGTGCTGGAAAGGACCCTCGGATACAGGAGGAACAATGGGGTTTTTGTCCAATTGTTTATAACATTTGGATAAAAAAACCAGTTGTAGCCAGTGATGTGAACATAATCAGATGATCGGTTAGGGGTTCACTGAAGCACCCTTTGGTTTCTGCTTTCAATCCATTCACTTCCACCTATCTAGCAGGGGTGCTGAAACCTCTCCCTAGCCCAGTGATGGATTTGAACCCAGCAACGTCTTGCAGTGAGGCAACCGTGCTAACCACCATGCTGCCATCTGCATTGTGACACTCTTCAGAATTCATCCCGCTACTTCCATCACTACCAGGCCATTACACTGCCTCCACCATTTTTGGCACATCATGTGGTTTACTGTCCAGCGGTTTATTCTGCAGAACTGTGCAGGCTCCTTTTCTGTGTGTAACCAGTAAACTTCTATATATACATGAAGGCATCTCTTAAACCACCTTGTCGAGAGTGTTTTTTGCTTGACTGGACGTTGGAAACGTGTCTTCCAAACCTTTTTGTGTTGCTGAGGTGGGCAGTTCATTTTTTATTTTTAAGGATGTACCAGATCATAGATTTGGAAACTATTTTCAGTTTTTTCTTTGTGATAGATTTCTTTTTCTTTTTCAGTGACATGATGGCCTCCTTTACCTGCAATAACAACTTATCTGGACCTCATATTGAGAGTACCAGTGAACCGCAGCCAAGTCCAAGTTCAACACAGAATCAGCTCCAGATATTTTGTCTGCTTAATTTGTACTGAAATAATGAGTGAACAGGCCTGATGTTACCAAGTATTAAAAACAATGCTTAGGTTTAGAATTATTTTAGTCTGTCTAATTAGCCTGTGAAAATGGGGAACCATGCATAAAATGCATGTAATTCCTGAAAGTCTGCATTTCAGGGACATCTATATGGTTTAATTTAAAGTCCATCGTAGCAACAAAATTACTACAAAAAAACAAAAACAAAACAAAAACAACTGTCATTTTCCAGAAACGTATAGACTTAACTAGCTCCACTATAGTTGTGATATTTTTCTCTGCTGATATCAGGCTAATAGTACAGGGTATCTAGCGACTGCCGGTCTTTGCATCGCACCCGGAGGTTCACAAGATAATGACGCAGAGATTTGTCAGCCACTTCTCTATCAGAGTCGGTAATTTACAGAGATCAAAAGGTTGATTATTCATATATCGCCCACATTAGGGTCACCACACGTTGAACAGCAGTATGGACCAGTGCAAATAGGAGACTCAGTTAAAGGGACATTCCACTTATTTTACATGTCACGGTCAATTAGTAGTCTTGTGGGGGTATTGCACAGTCTGTGAGAAAAAGTTTTATTATGTATTCTGTGGTTGTAGAGAGATCGTCATGAAGTCTGGGAAAATTATTACAGTGATCACCAGCATATTTTTTTCTTGGCTTTGGAAACTTTTGAGTTTTTGAAAGAAAGTCTCAGTTTCATTCTTGGGGCACTGAGTTTAAAAGGCGTGGGTGCTTACGAGTTAGGACCAACTATGCAAAAATCAACTCAAAATAAACAAGTTTTGACTATGTTTTTTGCAGTCTGTCCCTTTGCCAGCTCTAATTAAGTGCATTACCAAGTATCTGTAGGAGTTTTTGAAGACCATAGCAAACTTACACCGCTGCACATTTTCATCCATTTCCACCGGTTACCACAATAAAACTATGACTCAGCCTATAATATAAAATCGTATTTACTTTGCTAATACATAAAATTTCCTAAAGAGCCTAATTAGGCCATCTGTTATGCTCTAACAAATAAAACAAAAGCAAAAAGTCAAACAGACATTCAGTACTGTTAGTGGTGCTTATTAGCATGCAATTCAAAATCTCAGTGGTGAGTATCACACGATGGATGATCGGATGAAGGGATTCATGTGTAAAGATCCTGCATAATTTACTGGAATGCGTCACATTCCATTTAAAAAGCAGTACAATGGTCTATTTCACTTTGTATGCACATCATCCTCACATTCGAGCAAAACATGACGTGGGCATTTCAAACACACTGATCTCTTTTTGATCTCTTTTGAACCCAGAAAGCAAAAAGTTATTTGCTGTACTGCGTATCACAAGATGACTTCCCTCAACTCACTTTGCTTTTTTCCTTTCTTTTTTTTTTTTACTGATGCAGAGCTGCATCAATAAAACACTTCAACACTTCAGCATCATTATTACTTTATACCAGTTTCACTGGACAATTTTCAGGATTTATCAAAGCAAAACTGAAAAGTATCTTTTTCTTTATCCTTAAATTGATCATTTGTGCAATAAGAAGACAGTTTCGAGAAATGTTAATTCCATTGTAAAGGACAGAAATAGAACAGAGGACAGAAAGGAAAAGAGGGAAACAGGGAGGCAGATGTTGGAGGCAGCGACAGGAGAACAAGATTGTAGTCCAGAGAGGGGAGGTGGAGAAGAAGATGAAAAAGACAAAGTGCCATTTACTTTGTTGGGGCCCACCTTCAGATCTAGATACTCCAGGTCCTTCTTCAGTTGTATGTAAGTATCATCAGCCTTTAAATGAGCAATGGAGAGATAAATCATTTGAAATGAAGCTGCAAAGGATAATGCGTGATCAGATGACACTTAGGGCCTTTATTTGGGATTTACTAGCAGAACTTTAATTAACTTGGTCTCAATTACAGTGCACTTCTACCTCTGTATTTTTATCTACAGTCAAGCTCTAATTAAGTAATCAAGTAATTGTTTTGATCTGGTTTAATGTCTCATGTATGACCTTATGCACAACTGAGGAACACAGACATGTGCATGACATGTGGTCAGACAGAGAGTTTATATTTCTCCATAAGCGTGGAGGATAGCCAGAGAATGGTCGGTTGCTAAAAACTGGGTGGAGTTGTCGCTGCTGCTCTTACAGCATTGTGCTTGATTCCCAACTACACAGAAATTTTCTGATAATCAGACATTATTGTGGTTGTGCAAGGTTATACATCTATGAGACAACGCAAAGTGTAAAATACAGGCATGGGCCACAAGCAACATGCTCCAAACATGGCATATCCCTGTTTACAAACAGTCACACAAGGCTCCGAGTATCCATAATATATAACCGTTAATACAATACAAGTCATGTCAAAGTGGTTAAATGAACAAGACATCCAAGCAGAATCAGAAAACTGCACAGTGTGTAACGATGATAGGGTAGTAATGTATGGGAATGGCTGGGGAGCAGGGGACCACAATGCACTGGCAAAGGATGCACTGGGCTGCATTAGGGAAATATGAGGGTCCCTGACCTGCATGCTGGGGCCTAGTAGGCCGTTGTGCTGGTGGTGCTGCAGGTGAGCGAATGCATTGCTGGGACTATGTGCACCAGCCATCTTGGCCTGGTGCCTCCGAAGCTGAATGAGGAGCAGAGTCAGCTCCTCTGGCTGTAGCGTAGCCCGGGTTTAGGGGCCAGTGAAAGCACAGAGGGATGAGAGGAAATATTTCATAATCATCTGGGCAGTAAAGTGGCTGAGCTGCAGTAACTGTGGAGTGTGGCAGAGACACCAGTATACTGCTGCCTCCAATAATGTAACACTTTATGTGAAAGGTACATGAATTGTCACCTATTCATAGAAAACGGGACACATTAATAGCATTAATTCATTTATGAAAAACACATGTTAAACACCAGTACCTCATCCTCACTCTTATCTAACACTGGCCCTGCCCCCAAATATTTCAGATATTTTATACATTCATTTTTGTAATTTTCAGTATTGTGCAGAAGTCTTGAGTCACACCTCATTTCTTTATATTTTATTTCCAAGAAGCCAGACTTTTTCAGTAGTATTGAACAATAGCTCTTCCAAAGCTTCTGTGGACATTTGCTTTTTTCACTCAGTTTAAGTCCAATCCTTGGCATTTTTAGAGGAATGTTTTTATTGTTGTTGTTTGTTGAACCACATAACAACAACATCTGAATCATCTGAGCATAAAAGGGACCAAAGTCAGTGTTGTCTCTACACATAACAGCAAACTGTGTATGTTTATGTTCTGGATATAAGTAACTTTTCCCCCTATAGTTTCTTTATACAGTTATATTTTTACACGGTTTTACTTTAATTAATGAATTCATTGTTTTTCATGCATGAAGTCATGAATGAATTCGTGATAATTCATGTACCTTTAACACAATGTGTCCTAATAAACCTGAAAATGTAAAACCTAGAGCTACACAACAAAGACTGTCATGTGAGGACGGCCTGCTGTGCTGTCTGAACAGAAATGCTATCAGAAACAAAAACACTGGAACAAATTCTACATGTGATAATGTCACAGACGGCCCCCATTAATTACGTTTCCAGTTCTTACCTGGATTCATTTCCCTAGACTATTATAACGCTTTGTTAATATTATAAAAAGTCCATTTTTCATATTGATCCAAGTAAGTAATATTAATGTAATAGAAGCTCATACCGTTTTGCCATGCAAGCTGGGAGCACTGACTGTGTGTGTGATGTAGCCCATGGCTGGCACGGACCTCCTCTCTATTTGGGAATTCTGTGGAGAAATGCAATTCGTTCACTTGTTAACGCAGATCATATAGAATGAAATCAAACAGAATATCTGATTTACTAAATAATCTTCAATAGTGTGTTGAAAGTGATATATGGATCACTTCATCACACTAAGTCAAAGTTAAACCATTGCCTCCAAGTCTGCAAACAAATTTGACTACACAGCAGATTTATTTTTTCCATCTATCCTTTTCTCGCTTTCATCACTCCTACTCTTATCCGAAACAAGGTGTGCCCTGAGTTTTCAGATGCTACAGGGCTCGGAAAAATTTGACGTTTTTGCTTAACACACAGAATTAGCGAAAACCAGGCCCACCACAGAAGCTTAAAAGGACACAAACAACAAGAGATTTAATTAACTACACATAAATTATACTAAACCTGCTTTCTTAAAATAACATTTGTTTGCTACCAGCAAGAGAAGCACTGTAAGCCATTCCCTTTGAGATTCCCATGCCACAATTTTTTTGCTGTATAATAGGTTTTTTATTTAAATGCGAGATCAGAAGAAAGAGACCGCTGCTGATGTTTGAGATACAGTAGAGATGTTTATAGGGTGCTGAGAAGCCCAGGGCAAATTGGATTAGCTGCTAATAAAACATACTTCTTAATGATATTCCGCAGAGGCACACAGATCGCTATTACTTAAGTGCACTCCAGCCAGAGAGCACCATCAGCCTCAGAGATGCTGGGTGCACCAAAACTAAGTTCAGTGCCAACTAAATTTAGTTCCCATAAACATCGCTCCCTAGCATAGTCACTGTGGCTACCTTTGTTAAAAATGTATCCTCTAGAGGGTTTTCCATAATTGCGCGTCACTATATTTTATGGTTGTAATTAGAGTCTTGACACTTGGTTGAATCATAGGGGAAACAGAGCATCTGCAACACTTTGTTTACTTGTGTAAGGCCAACGGGTTGGTTATGAGGGTTGTGTGTGTTGGCAAATGTGGTGATGGTTTGGAGGGAGATTTTTTTCACATGTGGAGGGTGTGGTGGGGAGAGAGAGCAGGGTGTGGATTACAGGACGTGCTCCTGGGCTCCGTCTCCTGCGGCGGTGGCGGTGCTGTCTGAGCGCTACGACGTTTTGGGGGGACGGCAGAGTAGCGAGCTTTTACTCGCATGCGCTCACACCACCTGTGGAATAGGCCTGGGTGTGGACTGTGTGAATCTGCAAACGATTCACATGAGCATCAAAGTGTGCGCGCTGTAAAGTCGGAGCCTTCTCATGCTCCTCGCGCGATCTTCCCATGGTGTCTTTGTGAGCTCACAACATTCTCCAAGTTGTGACACCTCATATCCACAAGCTACCATGAGAATGAGACCTTTGTCATTTGGCTCAGAACATGTGAAACACTGAGTTTTACTTCAGTCCCATGTCAATGACAGGCCACTGCTGTTTACTGTCTCACAGTATCACCAGTGTTTAAGGCCCAATTACTGAGTATCAGCACATAAATTCATAAAGGGTGGGACTTTCATCTTTCCATCCAACACTATGTGCAGGTCTCCATCCAAGCTTACTATGGGAGAGAAACAACACTGTCAACACACCGGCTACTTTCACACCATCCACAAAAACTCCACTGTTCCCATCATTCAAGATACACTGAAGAGATTAATTGAACTAGCTGGGAACACAAGTATTATTTTCAGTTACTCTGCCATTTATTTTATTCGTTAGTCAATTAATTATTTAGATAACCAATCAGTCAAAAGACTTTTTGTTTTTAGATGAAAGCAAAAGAAAATGTAACCAGTAATATTTAATATCCAATTAACAAAGGTCCTCTTACACAGAGGAATCAGTTCTTTGCTGGTTTTAATCTATGGGAGGCTAATTAAAAATATGGAATGACACGTGCACTATTCTTACCTATTATATCTTAACTACAGTTTATCATCATGTAAATCAAAGTAAAAACAGGTATTTGCAGGTTTATTTAATAAAATGGATATTAAATTACCGTAATTGTCGGGCTATAAGCCGCTACTTTTTGCACAAGCTTTGAACCCTGCGGCTTTTAGTCAGGTGCGGCTTTTCTATGGATTATCCATGATTTTTGTCATATCGTAAGACGATTTGTTTTGTTTGTTCCGCTGTTGTACGGCACTACGTTGCCTGGCGGAAGGGCATGTGATCAGACACACAGTATCGGGGTTCAAGAGTGGTATGTTAGTCACATGTCCGTCCGCCAGGCAACATAGTGCCGTACAAGTAGCGCGAAAAACAAACTTCAAATTAACGCTACACGTTCAGCCGGAGGCGTGAATGACGAGCGGCAATAAACTTGCGAAAAGCAAGTCATGCTCAACTCCACCGGTGGATTCTGACAGCGTGGAAAAGTGTGAAAACATCCATGATCACCAACGGATTTCGAAGGGCTGGACTGCTGCGTGATGGAGAGGAGGACACCGCCACGGCCCTTCTGAGGGTGTTCGACTCTGACACTGACAACGAGGATTTCTTTGGTTTTGAAAGTGACAACGAAGGAAAGAAGCTGAGAGTGGATGACGAAGCCATCCTGAGCCTGTTTGTTTCCGACACTGGAGAAGAGGACTTTGGGGGTTTTAGTGCGCAGGAAGAAGAGAAAGATGGTGAATGACTGACTTTTCTTCTTGTTAAAGCCGTGTCACTGCACCTGAGCCTAAAAGGTAGTCCGAATCTATTTTTCTGGTGTGCTGTAGGCTACTGTTATGTACTACATTTGTTACTCATTTATGAAGCACAGTACATGTTTCGTACTTGTAATTACCGCTACTTTTACATATACCTAAAAAGCTGTGCAAATATGTACCCATAACTTGTTTTTCAAAATATTAATAGCCATCTCTTTCCTGACAATTCCCTTTGTGCATATTCTCTTACATATGATAAGTCAACATTGAAACACCTGCGGCTTTTAGTCAGGTGCGGCTAATGTATGTACAAAACAGGATTTTCCCCTGATTTTAGCTTGTGCGGCTAATATTCAGGTGCGCTTTGTAGTCCGGGAAATACGGTATTACTGTTCACTGAATGCAACATTTCTCTGTGCATTTATGATTTTATCCCATTGAGTATTTTAGAACTAGAGTATTAAGAACTGCAATTAATACTCTAAATGTACAAATCTAACTGAAAGAAAGGCAAACTAAGCTCCTCCTTAACTAGGTGTGCTACCTGAGAAAGATGGGCACAAAAATGCCCGGGTGAGCTTGATCTTGTGCTGTCCCCTGGTGCCAATTCATCCAAGGGCCTTACTGTGCGTCTGTCTGAAGGAGTGTGTGGTCTGCGTGGAGACAGGGGCTTGAAGGACGATGGTGGGACTTCACATGGTGATGGAGGAACAGAGATGGAGCGTGGCATTTCTACAGTCACTCTGAAAGATGAGGAGTCTGTGAAGTTGGGGCCGGTGTAAATAGGAGCGGTGGGGCTGCCGTGACGAAACTGCTGCCGTTGCTGCCACTCATACAGCTGCCACACCATTCCCTCCTTGGTGGCCATTCGCTCGTCAGTGGACATACGGAAGTGGCTGAGCCGGTCATGGGCGTACTTGTAGTCACTGGGCAGATTGCATGTTGCTGGAGGAGAGCTGCTGCCACAGGGTAGACGGGGAGACTTTGGCAATGACTGATAGGTGACATCTGCTGCACTTGATTTGGGCTTTAAGGGAGGAGTCCATCGAGGGAGGTTGAACTCAGCAGAGGGAGCACTATGAAAGAAAGAAAAACAAAGAAATCTTTTTAGCTGTGTTTTTTTTTATCTATTATAGAGCCATAATGCTTTAAATAAGATAAAATGAAATTCAGTAGAAAGATTAAAGCAATCTAATAAGTGAATCCTCATAAAAGCCACTAGAGGGAGGCATAGACTCAAAGTTTCTTTGTCATTAGTCATGCTGCTGTTATAGAGAAATGTTAGTTGAGTCAAACTGATTGTGTGAAGTCAGACTGACCTCTTCGGGGGGTCTCCTTTTTGAACTTTGACCCAGTGCTCCACCTGAGCCAACGTGTTCTTCCTCTGAACATGCTTCTCAGTGTCTGCCCGTGTAACGAAACCCCTCTGATAGACAAGATTTCCATTTTGTTCTGGTGGCAGAGCCACTTGGATTACAGTCTTTTGTCCATTCTTATGGGCAGCATCATTAACAGCGTCTGGAGACAGTCTCTCTACTCTCTCCTGTGGGGCTGTCTGACTGAGTTTCCCCTGGATCTCTAATCCATACCTCACCTCGTCTCCGTGAGCCAGTCTGATACCATTGCTCTGAGCTTCCCCTCTGTCTGTCCTGTGAGCACTTTCTGGCTGAGATGAGCTCTGGTTAGTGTGGACATGGTTGGTCTGTGGGACTGCCTGTTGTGCAGCTTTCTCTGGCTTCTCCACCTCTCTGTGAAGACATGACATAGGATTGATATGATATTTAAACCAATGTCAAACCTGCCAGTAAAAATGTAAATACAGTTTCACTGACGTCAGATGATTTTCACCCACACGATGAATTAATATCACTTAGTGGTAATTTCCAAGAGAATTCATATGGTTAAAAAAATTATAGCCAGCTGGTCATTTTTACCCTGTCAAAAATGCCATTTTTATTCATATCCCCCGTTGTCAGTGATGCAGGGAGATTATGCCTTTACTGGACAAGACTCAGTGTCGAAGGAATGAGTAGACCGGAGAAGTTCCCAGTCCCTTTTTTTTCTTTATGAAGTTTTCACTAATTTTAGAGGCTGTTTAAGGTCCCCTCATGACACTTTTTTAATGATACACATCGGGAGAAATAAAAGAAGGGTACTTCAGTTTGCCATGTAATGTTGTACTTCAAAATATTCTGATAGAAAATAATATGTTTTATCAAGTATGTTATGTAAGGTAAATTATACCTGACATTACTGTTACAGGGTTATGAGATTACACAGTATTAATCAGTGAATAGAGAACACAATGGGAACTCTAATCAACCTTAAGTGGTCCTAAAGGTGATTTCCAAATCCATTTGCAGAGACACAAATCCAGAGCACGGGGAGCTATTCATTAAATATCCAACTGCACATTTTCAAAGGAGCTAAAATGGAAACCCCAGAGCACCGGAGTAATATCACTCACTTTATCTTCATCAAATACTTAATTTAGAGCACCACCTTTTTAATGCATTGCAACCTAATGCTCCATACTTTAAAACATGTATCCTTATTCCCGAACATTGGATTTTCTTGGTGTGTTATTTACAGTTTCACAAACTTCATATAGTTGATGGACACTAATGTCTAAAGGGTATTTCACATAACTTGTATTTCATTTCAAAGAACACAACAATGGGATTTTGAGCGCTTTCCAAAATATTATTAAAAAATTAGGTAGTGATGTACATTGGTCTCTAGATGGCAACATTGCATAGATCATTTAAGCTATGCAGTACAGCCTGCTAATGTAAGATAACTCTGTATACAGCGAGTATCTGGCTATATATTTTAGAGCATTTCTGCCCTCCATTAAATATTTGAGAAAGTCTACTTTGCAGACACAGCTGGACTCACAGCTGCAGAATACTGAAGTTACAATGCAGCCCATTACAGAAAACATAATTTTATTAGTGAATCATATAGATACTAAAGAATCTGACCTTCAGGACTGCAGTATAACAGTGCTGTTGAATCCTTAAAGCATGATGCACTAGCAAAGGTTCTAGTTGTTTTTGATCGGGATATCCAGGCTCCCTTTTTTAATCTAATCTCAATAGATATCCAGTTCTTCTGTGCAAACTTGCACTAGAACCCCAACCAACTGAACCCAGTAGAGTGAGACCAACCTCTTTATCATGTGACTCTGCTGCATCAGCGCAGCCTGGTTCATGGCCCGGATCCAGCCATTCATGTCCTCCTGTGTGTCCGCACTGAAGAAATATGTCCGCATCCCGCAGTGTTCTGCCTGTGAGCCAATCACAGAGTTCTTATTGTAAATGTAGGAGCGCATTCCAGTATGGCTCGCCTATCAAAGAGAGAGAGAGAGATGGGGAATAGACGTGAGAGCGTCTTACTAAAGGCAGGAAAAAGCTGCCAGACAGGCCGATAAGTGCTTTATTGTTCAATGATCGCTGCCAACTCACTGAAGTTTACAGCAACAATATACAGAAAAAGAATGGAGGGGGAAAAAAGTGCTGCAGCAGAAAATATGTTGCTGTTGTTTCTGGCAACACAAAAAGCAAAACATAAAGGTTACACCTTCCCGTCTTTAAGAGAAATTCTTCTAGAAATACACAAATTATATACCAGCTGCAGCGAACAACCAAACAGGAAGAAAGAAAACAGAATTACGGACTCCTTTAGACACAAGCACACACATAACCGCATATAAAAAAACACTCCAAGGGTGAGCAGCTGTTTGTAGTTTCACAGGTGTTTTTTAACTACTACTGTTTACATACTTTTCCTTACCTTTTACAATATATTATAGTAAGAGGTAAGTGAAATGTTAAATCTTCAATTACTCAACAGAAATTAAAACTATATTTACTCTTACTCTATAGAGGTTTCCAGAATGAATGTTTTTGAGGAATTTATTGGCTATTTCACATGAACTGTAAGAGCATGACCTTCAACGAGTCCAATACAACACACTTGATAATGAGAAACAAAATAAATATAAAAACTTTATGCAATTATACATATCCTTATTCATCATATTAACAGAAAAGCAGAAGGCCACCTGTAATAAAAAAAAAAAGTAGTTTATTGAGTTCAGGCTGACTTTATTAATAAGAGAAGTCTCTATTTTCATTGATCTGTTCAGAAAGATCTTTACTATGTAGCACTCATAATTTAAAATGATTATTATTCATTAATAATTATAATGATTATCACTCAATAATCTACTAAAAACTCAACATGTTAGAGGCCAAACACGGCAAAGCAAACTCAACAAGACCTGCTTCCAAAAAGAGGGAGAGAATTGTGTTGGGTTAATTTCATAGCTTGTATTAAAAAATAAACACACGTACAGGAGATGGCAAACTGCTAATGACGACATACATTCCATGAAATGCAAAGAAAAATGGCTGACACCTCGCCATTCTCCCTCTCCCGCGATGATGGAAATGTGATGAGTAATAGCAGCCTGACAAGACAAATACCAGAGCCTCAGAGCATTTACGTTACATTTTCAAAGTGATGAAATGGTAAAATGAGCATCAACATTTGCCAATTGATCTCATTTATAAAGTTAGTAATTGGTGAACCTGCTAAATATATGGGAGTTTAACTTGGATTATAGATGAAACAAACATCTGAGGGTAAAGTGCTGACTCTTGTGCTACTGGTGGATTAAGTTTTAAAGAGTTATCAGTTCTGCGCTAAATATCTAACATTCATGTCCAGGAAGAATGCTTATACTGTAATAGATGTTTTAAATGTGGCGCATGTAAAAGAAAAGCACTCGATTAATGTTTCCCACTCAAAAGATTTGTCTAATCTAGCAATGATTGCTCTGGCATTGTCCATAAATGATTTGTCATTCGTTTCCATGATGAGGCTTAAATGCACATTTAGAAATGTGCATTCAGCAGCTAGACGCAAACAAATGGAGGTGAAGATGGTGCGCTACTGGTGAGGCTATAGTGAAATCAAATACCTATTCATGTAACACAGGAAGCCTGTGTGATTCAGGACGGCCGCCCACAGAGAACAGTACTCACTCCGCCCACGCAAACACACCAGGTCACAATGGAAGGCAATTGACCAACAGGGAATGAGAGAAACACAGTGAGGTGAGCAAAAACAGGAGAACAGAAAATAACAGAAAGTCACAGCTGATCAGTGCTGATTCAAACAGAGAGAACAGAAATGGCTCCAGCTGGAGTCCCTCGTCATCACAAAAGCAAGAATGAGTAATAATGGGAGCATCGTAAGTGCTTTGACACACCACTGTGGAATCAAAGCACAAAGCATTACAGCACCAAAGTCCTTACACAACATCTTAAGTTTTATACATCCAACCGCTCATTTAGCTGATTTTCAGTACAATTTTAACAAAAATGTTACACTTTATTCGCCTCATCTTCAAATCATTTTTAACCCAGGTAAAAGATTAATCTAGAATTAACTCTACATGTCAGTAGATCTAAGAGAGAGACATATCATTCCTGGACACCAACAACAACTCAGCTGTTTTCATGCTTGCTTAGCAGTAACTGAAAATTTCCAAAGCACCTCAGATACACATAATGAAATCTCCTGCTCTTTAATGCATGATGGCACAGGGAGAGCTAAGGGTGGGGGGATGGGGGATCCCTTAAATACAAGGTATTAATGCAAAGCCAACGCTCATTTCTCCTAACTGTACATACACTCCCGCCCAACAGCAAATATGCTGAATGCATTATTAATATTCTAAGCAGCAATTACCATACAAATTTCAGTGCCCGTTGTATGAACTTTAAAACACAGTACATACATATCACATGAGCACAGACATTGTAATTCACACTGGCATGCTCTCACAATCAGATAATCTAAGAAAAAAAAGCCCAAAAGAGCTGAAAGGATTATAACAGAATACTCCGGTGCTGCTGTGCTGCATCAACATTCAGGCACTATTATTCTTTGAGGGACTCTCTGTGCTTCCACAAAGAGGACTTAGATGATGTTAACACACAAGAAACATAATTTCTTATGTCCTTCTTTTTTTCAAAATTTGCAAAAACGAAAGAAAACAAAAGAAAAAAACCCCCAAAATATTTGTTGCATGTAAGAAAAACGTCATGCACATATATTAAAGTAAAAGTGATACAATTAACACCAGTTTTAGCTATGTTACCATTCAGATTTTGGTGACAGAAACATTTTCTTATACTTCACACACTGTTTTGAATACTGAATACACCTAAACATATTTTTCTTCTCAGTTCATAATAGTGGATAAAATCTGATAAGAAATAGTTCTGCTGTACTTGATACACGGACAGTTGTACTGTAGCGGTTCGCTCTAATCCCCGCTATTGAGTTTGTTCTAGAAAAGGTCAGAAACCAGGAGGTCAAAAATTCCATCACACTCTGCACAACTTGAGAAAGAACGATTTATAGAATTATATAAAAAAGCTGAGTTAAGACCACCTCAGGTGCATGCAAAATACTTGTTTTGCAAAAACCTGAACATACATAATAATCAAGAGTGGAGCTGTTGTTTAGTTCCAGTGAAACTTTCTCCACTCTTGAGACTATATTAGTTCTTCATGTAATACAATGAAGTTACAAAAGATACCATAAATAAAAAGTTTAAGTTCAGTTAAGTTTAGCTGCTGGTAAACTGCTGCTCCTGTGTTCTTTAGACATTTCTCACTATTCTAATCACTTGCTGAATCTCTTCCACGGTTTTAAATGGTAAAAGAAAATGTTATTGCTGTGGGGCACAATATGAGACAGTTGTGTTCTGGATGTCTCTTTTCTTGGGCTTGATCAGTACTAACTGTTCCATGGAAAGCTGTTGATTTATTTCTTAGTAATAACCAGACACCCGCCTCTGATGACCTCCTGATCTTACAAATCGGAACAGCCAATGGCAGCTCTATGAAATCCATACCTTTGGTAATCTTTACATAGATTTTTATGGGTGAACTTTGAGAACTGTCTCATATCAACTCAGCAACTAATAAATGAAGTTACAGCTGTGGTCATGAATATCATGGGGAATTTTAAAGATGTCTTTGAACTGTTCTTTTTCCAGGGTGGAGAGATTGTACAGCATACATATTTAATGACTTAAAAAAACAGAAATTGGGTGCACAGGTTTGAGTGTATTTTGGATTTTCTCCAATCCACAGAATCAAAGTATACATACAGAAGCACAGACATCCATATACCCCCTCTGTTTGGTTAAATGTCCCTTGGCAAGTTGGACCTCAATAAGACGTCTTGGCCATCACCAAGCTTCTGGCATAATTCTGGCTGGATATTTGATCACTCTTGTTGGCAGAATTGGTAGAGTTCACTTAAATTAATTGGTTTCCTGGCACAGACTTGGCCTTTAAGCATAGTCCAGAAATAGGATTGAGGCTCTTGGAAAGGTCATCATTCAAGCTTAATATTAGCCTGCTTTATCCATCCCCAAACCAGTTTTGATGTGTGTTTGGCATCACTGTCCTGTTGGAACACACAGATTTGACCACGTTTGAATCGTATACAGTAGTTGTGAATTTGAGGTGAAGTTGAAGAATTTGGTACTCCATCTTCATCATTATTTCATCCACTTTGTGCAATGTGCGAGTACCACTGGCAGGAAAACATCCACAGAGCATGATGGTACCACCATGCTCGACAGATGGTACAGTATTCTTACATTTGAAAGCATCGCCATTAACTCTAAACATACTAACGTCATTGTGGCCAGATAAATCCACCTTTGTCTCGTCTGACCATAACACGTTTCTCCAGAAGACTGAAGAAAGACATCTTCAAATTTCAATTGAGTTTGCAGCTGTCAGTTTTGGAGCAGGGGCTTCTTGCTTGGTCACAACCCCTCCCAGTAAAACTTCCCTTGCTGTGGACACTGGTGCTCCAGCATCTTCCAGTTCATAGCAGACTGGAGCCTTGGTGGTTCCTCGGTTGTTCCTGAACATTTTAACCAGTTTCCTCTCATCTTAGGGTTAGAAAGTTTGGGTCTTCTTCCACAATCTGGCAAAGTGCTGACAAATCTGAATGATTTCTAATACAGTTGTTTGAACTGATAATCTTTAAATCTACAGTTGTTTAGAAATCGCTCCAAGAGGCCTTCTCAATTTGTGTAAATCTACTCTAATTCTCCTTCTTAGCTCTCCAATGGGTTCCTTGGACTTTCCTATTGCTCTGAGTATTGGCTATTTCAATGATTGGTGTAAAAAAATCCTTGTATGCCTGCAAAGAGAAACTACCTGTTGTATTCAATCATGATCACTAACAAGAAGTTGGCCTTGTCAACGCCGAAGATACTGGAGAGTCTTCAGTACAACTTTACAAAGATTTAAGTGAGTTCATCTATATACACTGCTCAAAATACAAAATAAAGGAACACTTTTTAATCAAAGTATAGCATCAAGTCAATTACACTTGTGGGCTATTGATCTGGTTTGTTAAGTAGCAGAGGAGTTTGTTAATCAATTTCAGCTACTTTGATGTTAATGAAATGAACAATAGGTGCAGTAGAAGGTTAACAGTGAGACAGTGACAATGAGAATTATCCGGTTTAGTGGTGGATCCATGGAAGGACACACAGACCTCTACAGGTTAGGCAACGGCACCCTGACTGCAATCAGGATGAGCTCAGACTGTCATGAGCTCAGTGATGCCCCGGTCCATATCTGGGAGGAGATCCCCCAGGACACCATCCATGTCTTACTAGGAGCATGCTCCAACATTGTCAGGCATGCATATAGACACTCATACAAACTACTGAGCACCATTTTTAGGTGCTGCAATGGAATTCTGACAAAATGGTATAGCTGCCACATCATTTTCTGGGTGCCTTTAAATTCAGCCCTCTGTAGGTTGATCATTTTTATTTCCATCAAATGATATGCCATGTTTTCATTCCTAATGCATTAGCCAGTCCATATCAGTATAGATATTCAGCAGTACTTTTTTCCCATTGAGATGTGTTCCCTTACATTTTTTTAACAGTGTCTTTGATCCTGTATGTATACCTCTGACCCTGTGCAAATTCGATAAAAAGAACAAAAAATAACACAGCATTCATGCTCATGATGAGTGTATTTAAACTTCTTTCCAAAGTTGTATGATCTGACTATTTTTGATGCTCTGTTGTAAAGACACATTTTGGTAGATACTGAAGTATAGAAGTGTCATACCTAATCAAAACAATAACTCGATAAATAACAATAAACATATGGATATATGAAAATGAGATATGAAAATGAGATCTGGGCACCAGGCAGCACACAAACAGCCTTTCTGTGTTGCAGTGAGCAGAGTGAGGGGAAGGATTGTTAACAAATAACAGCGCAGCAATAAATAATCTCAGATGAAGTTTTGAAATCCGCACATAGACATGAAAACTTCTTTTAAAGATCTGACTCAGTGCCACTTCAGTGTTACCTTGAAAGCATATTTGCGGTTTATGTGGTCCTCAGGCTCAACTGGCGAAATGACATAACTGGGCAGAGGGATGCTGCCAAGTACTGTTTCCTCTCGGCTGTCTGTGAAATCAGAACACACACACACACACACAACATTGTTACTTGCATTCAGAACAACATCTAATTCTGCCAATATCTTTTACGATGTTTACAAATGACTGCAGATTTATGAATAGCAGGAAAATTAGCGAGGCATAACTCATGCAGGACTCAAGATGGTGCAAGGGCATGTGGCTGCATGTGGTATGATGGGGCATGTGGCTTATCTATTATTCAGTATTATTAATAAAGGAGAGAAGGTACATGCTATGGCAACGCAATAAGAGATCTCAAGGTAATAAGGATGCAAAAGCTGGTGGAAAAAGCATGTCATATATCTAATTACAGGCTGTCATTAATCAAAAATGGCAGCAGAGGAGATCGCTAAAGGTTTGCATGTTAACCCTTCACCAAGTGCACTGTTCGTACGCTTACCTTTGTAGTAAAACAAGCAGTAGTCGGACAAAACAAACCACTTCCGTTTCCATAGTCGCATTCCAGAGCTGTCCTAGAAATGGATCGGGGGAAACGCAATACAGACAATATTTAGAAATCCTCCTGCAGGAATACATTTTAATTAAAAAGTGCAGTTTGGGAATAACCTGCTTTTTAATTAGGATTACTTTGGCAAAAAGCTGCAGCTGCTACATTTAATTCAGCACTGTAGTTTTATACTTCCTAGGATTGTGAGATTTAAAGGTTTTGTAAGGTCAATATGAGCTTTTAAGTTCTGCTAAGGGACAGAGAAAGATCGCTTCCATACTGCACAGTTACACCTCTTACACAGTGAAGGATGGTAATCCTGTGGCTGATATTTCACTGCGTGACACATTTAAACATTTGCTCAGTCTTTAACACGTGCTCCTGTATAACACATCTGCCTGTCGGACTCACTCTGAATATCCTCACCTGTTTATAGAGCCAGCCTCTCACCACCACTGGGATATTGAGGTTTCTTTTAATAGCATGATCCCTTTTGCCAAAACTGTGTACTTTCCCCGTACCTCTGGAGCCCTGCAGGAGCCACAGAAAAACATAATCAGTAACAAAATAAAAATAAAACATGAGGCAATTTTAAATTAACATATATAAAGTCATTTTGCGTGATGCTAGCCTACACAGTACAGAGAAAACAAATGCATCATTTTGTTACTTAGAAAGGAAAAATCATTTTTCCTTTAAAATAATAAAATGGCCTTCTTTCCTGGAAGCTCCTTTTTTAAACATCCTTAACGAGAAAAGGAAATACCAAAAGTATACTCCTGTGGACGCACGTGTTCACTTATAATAGAGTTTGTTTTTAGACAAAGTCAGTCAGTCTCTCAGGTACATTTATACAGTAAATATGTGAGGCTGTTTGGCTGACGAGTCGCTTAAAAAGACAAAAATCAGGATTTGTGATCATTTTCTTTTTAAGACACTAAATAAAAAACATACATGGTAACAAAAAAATAACAAAATGAATGAGGTGCACTATTCAACTTAAATACATATAGCTTCTCTGACTGTAACTTAATAGTAGTCGACTCATTTGTTAACTGGGGAAATAAAATTTCGTTACACTTGTTAAATTTGGACTGTTAATTGTGGCTCACATAATCAATGTGATAATTGATCTCTGGACTATAACAGAAAATGGACTGGTTCTTATATAGCGCTTTAGCACTCAAAGCGTGTTATCCATTGTGTTTTATTCATCCATTCATATACACTTTTTACTATATCTAAGTACTTTCAGTCTGACATTCACACTTGGTATGCAGACTGGAGGAGCAAGGCATTAAACCGCCAACCTGTTCTACCTCCTGATATTATGACAAATTGAACAAATGTATTAAAATTTGTAACATCATAATTTACTAAAACTCAAAACAAAAGGTTATCTCGATCAGTAATACATTAACTGGTTCATGCTCTACAGTATATCTAAAGCCTTTGCTTCTCAGAGAACCACTGAGACTCACCTTTGACCCTGAGGAAGCATCGACTGCTGCTGAGGTCACAGCCTTGGAGGACTCTGTGACCATGTTGGCTGATCTCTGATTGGCCGCTGACTTGGACATACGGGATTCTATCCTACATTTGAGACGACAGCGTGGAAGAAAAACAGAATGCAAAAAAGGATGAAAAGCACTGGCAGTGTTGTTCCTTCTCAACTCCTCTGACAAGCTCCAAACATGCAATAAAACAGAGCGCAGTCCTTTGCTGAGCTTTCACATATAAAGGATATGACTATTTCCTGACACCAACGTGAGACCAGTCAGAGCCAATGGTTTTCCACTGGATGTGTTAACAGTGAGGAAAAACTCATGTAACACTTGGCCTGGCAGTCACCTCGCGGCACACACGCGCACACACACACACACACACACACACACACACACACACACACACACACACACACACACACACCACACACACACACACACACACACACACACACACACGCGCGCGCACACACACAGACACACACACGCGCCACACACCCGCGCACACACACACACACACACACACACACACACACACACACACACAACAGAATACGCACACACACAATAACACTGCAACTAAAAAGACAAAATCATAACAATGGCACATACGCACAGCTTACAAGGAATCTACTTCCCACCTCACACATGACATCATCATATTGAAAGGGAACGTGAAGAACTAACACAGTCACACATGCCAGAGACAAGCTGGTGTCAAATAACAAATAGCTTGCACCACACTTTAAGCTATTCAAACACTTTAAACAGCGTATTTTGGACTGCGGCCAACCATAGTGTGCAAGTACAAGTGTCTGTTGCTGAACAACAATACCAAATATTTGAGTCCAACAGCAAATTATCAAGAAAATAAAGAAGAAAATCTTGTATCACAGAGTTAAAGGCATGACAGAAAACAGGTTAAAGCTTATTCATAGGGTGTGTGTGTGTGTGTGTGTGTGTGTGTGTGTGTGTGTGTGTGTGTGTGTGTGTGTGTGTGTGTGTGCATATCTATGTTAGGACAGAAAGACTAACATTTTTAAAGCAGAATTCTTTTATTTATTAAAAACTCCAGGAGCCAAGTGAATAACTTACTGTTGGCACAAATTTCCCAAAGTCTCATTCTGAATTATTGTAATGATTTTTAAACAGAAGATCATCTTTCATACCCCAAGTGCCCCAAGCTCTTCCCTGCTGTGTCATTACCATATTCTCCATCCAGGAAACAACAATGTTTCCTCTCGTACCTACTGCGGTCTAATTAGTTTTGACTGATTGCAAACAACTGAGGAGAGAAATGACGTCAAAGTACAGATTACAAATAGGGGCCAACGACATGGCATCTACAGCCGTTTGTGTGAAGCTTCTGACATTTTTGTATACTGTATGCAACGCACCTCAAAGATAATAAAAAGAACAGAATTGAGATGCTTCTGAGATGTAAAACAATAAAGATTACATTCGGCAGCCTCAACATTAGTCCGCTTAGAGCCACCAACAGCAATGCAATGATACATTTCCTTACATGATGTTACATCATAGCTTTTCCAAGACTTGCATCAGATCTTCTTAACAGAGAACTCAGTTAATGTGAGAAGCGTTTTAACCTGAAGTACAGAACAATGTGATGGCATTATGGTTATGGACACTGTAATAACCAGTAAAGAAAAAATAAACTTCAATCATTTTTGGCCAAAAAGTACTGCAGCTCAACTTCAATGGGCATGTACAAATTTACTGATGGTGAGAGTGACATGTTTAAAGGTGACCTACCTGTTTTCGCTTCAGGTAATGAGGTCAGTGTGTGTTCAAGCATTCCTGATGATCCAAATGTTTTTGATTGCTTTAAACACTTAGTTTAGGACTCTTCCTCTCTGTGACATCTGTATGATGCCAAACAAGTCATAAAAGAACATTCGTGTCCACTAAAAGAAAATAAATATTGGTTGATATATTCGAATATCAGATTTCTATGTGACCAAACATTGGTACTGGTTGGTATATCAGTCAGGTCCTTGAAGGAATAACTAATGAGTAGTCAGGTGACCTCTGTGCTATATATGTAACCTAGTAGTTTGTGCTTAGTCGAACCTAATTTACCAACAGGAACTAATGTGACCTGACAATGTTCTAACTCCCCCTGCATTGTTCAATAAATAGGTTATGAGCAGATCCTTGTGCTGATTTTCCCTTTGTGTGCCGCAATACACACAATCTAGAGAAAAGTAGGTAAGACTGAGGCATCTGTCAGAGACTAAAGCAAGAAAACATACAGGTAGAACAAGCGGGGGGGAAAAAGGAAAGTCAAACTGGAGCACAACTTACAGTAGTTCACTCCAAGCTTGGACTGCTGCCAGCAGTTTTACAGGATGTTTCTGTCTTATCAAGGGGACTCTGCTGTTTTATGTGAAGTTTTCATACTGTTTACCACCACTGTCATTGGAGCAGTTCCCCAGGAGATTTGTAGTGGCATGTGGATGAGAGGAGCAACATTTCACATAGTGTGGTGTCAAAGTAGGAATGTCGCTAAGTTCCATGTCTTCCTGCTTCTTCTGCTATGATGGAAATGGAGGTAGACTAGATGTTTTTTTTTTAATCTTTTTAGACAGTGAGTGTACATGCGACTCAATGACTCGATCCTGGTAGAATAATCTAGACAAACTCTGACACTTCAGGCCAGTAAAGCAGAGTCTGATCAACCTTTCTGTGGAACCGGGCTTCATGAAGCTCCTTTTCCTGATCTGCCTGTCCTCAATATCTCCAGGGAATAAGTGAGTCAATTATTAATGGAAGAAACCCACTTCCTATTAAAGTATTATTACAAGCAGAATGAACCCCTAATGTCAACATACTAATGAACAAAAAAAACCAGCAACAACATTTAAGCATGCTGTGAAATGGAGAAATAAAATTTAGCTATCAGCAAGCAACGACCAAGGATAAAAAAAGCATGTGGTAGTAGATCCAGAGGAAAAGCAGAAAAGGCCTGAAAGAGCACTCACTCCTGTTTTACAAGTGGATGAGTTTACAGGCGGCTTGTGTTGCATACTGTTATAAAGTCTAAGAGATGCAGCTTTTACCAGATATGAAGTGTCCAATGATGTTTCACTAAAATATTAAATTGTATCATCTTGCAGTCTTTTATTACTTCTAAATTGATGCACTGCTCATATGTTGCCTATTTGGAAACATAGTATAAAAGACAGAGTCTGTATAATTCTAAGGAAACTTGAAAGTAAATATTTGGTACACTGCCTAAACTGGCTCAGGCAAACTTTGCTCTTCTTTGGATGTTGAGTGCCTCATTCAACATGATTCACACTTCTTCAGTAACGTTAAGGTCCACACTCTGGGGAGGCCAGTCTGTGACTGATAGTGTTCCATTGTGTGTTTGCCTATCTGCATACACACCGGCAGTGTCTTTAAAATCATTGTCATGCTGAGAAACAAATCTTTTGCCAATCAGATGCTTTCCAGACAGCACTGCATGTTGAGTCAAAATCTGATAATTCCCAACACCAAATGCAACCCCAAACTATGACAGAGCCTCCGCTCATGCCTCTTTTCAGACCTCATCCATACATACTGATAACGATTTGAAGGATTGGTGGAGTCATCTTTTCATCAGACCTGTTGCTACTGATTTTCAGAACAGTTCTTGTGTAATTTGGCATACATCAGCCTTTTCTCCCTATTTCCCTTCCTTAAGAATGGCTTCTTGACAGCTACCCTTCCACTGAGACCATTACCGATGGTGCTTCAGTGAACAGTAGATGGATCAGCGGAAGAGCCATATATATCTGATCTTTGCTCAGTTTTTTTTGTTCTGTTCCTTAAGGACTTCTAATGGCTTCGGGAACTGCCCATCTGCTGTAGATAGTTTTGTAGGGCTGTCACTTTTTCTTCTGTCCTCTATTCGTCCAGTTTTCTCAGATTTTTGTAAGGACACACTCCACACTGTGCAGAAATATGACAAGTTTTTGGCTAATTTATCTTTAAGCACCTTGTTGGTGCAAAGAAAAAACGTTATGCCTTCAAACTGTTGGACATTTTTCATAAATTCAACAAACACACAGAAAACAAAGTGCAACAGCCTGAGAAAGACACCGTTTAAAGTTGTCATAACACTGATTCATCCATTGAGTTAGTCATTCACAGGTCAGTGTTAAGTGACTAACCAACAAAACAAAAAACATTCCTCTGAAAAATGACAGGTAGAATGACAGTCTGGCTCCTTGCAAGTAAAATATAATTGAAATTACTTTTGTACGAGACTATCTTTACTATTATTTTCTACCTTTTACTGATTTTAGCTGTGGTGCTGCATCCATTTTGCTTTGAGTGCAATGTTTCCCTCAGCTCAGTTCAACACTTCACACAGACAGTGACTGGCATATGTATGAATTGTGTCAGTGTCTTTTATAGTAATAAAAATAATTACCGTACACTTAGTGTATATGCTATGACTTTGACTTTTCTTAACTTGTGTTTTCCCTTGCGTGGCATCTTTGGAATGTTGTTGTAGAGCAGACATAAAACAGGTGTTATTCTTACTTTTATGAGCTTAAAGAGATCAGAAGTGGCATTTTGTTACTGTTGAAAATATGCAAGTGAGGCATCCATAGCGTTAAAGCCCCTTTGATGGTATACAAATCCGTGTCTCAGCAGGACTGAACAAGGGATGATGGAGAGTTTTAAGAAGTGAATGACAGTGGAGGATGCATATGAATCACTTTAATCAGTTTTATATTGCTTTAACAGATGCTTGTGCCCCGCCATGGTGCTGTTATAGTGGAATATTTGGTATGCACGATCATCTTACACCAGACAGCTTAAATACAACCAGACACCTGCTGCCTTGAATTGTGTAGCTTTAATGCCTTGCTTGATTTACACAATGACATAAAAGGAAATAAATCCGACTATCGTGCCATGACAATATAGTAATGTTGCCGCCTAGTAAATCCCTCCTTTCAATCAACAGTTCTCAACAATTCAGTGAGCACACAGTCAGGAGTTTGCTTTTATGGTGTCAACGGCATTGAGAGAAACAGCCCAGGTGGGCCGGAATAACTCGCTGTTATAATACAGCCAGCGTTAGCATAACAGATTGATGAGTCAGATTCATGGCTCCTGACGTGATATGAATATGATCAAAGCGAGATGTGAGTGTTGTGTCATTGCCATAGATTCCATTATGGTGTTATAAATACCATGGTGATGGTGATGAATGCATTCAGTTTATTCAAATACGACAGTGCCCATCCTTTTGTGTTCTGACAAGGACTGCTGGTTATGTTGCTAATAAACAAAAAACTGGAAATCAACCCATTTTAATCTTCTTGTTAGTGGAGAATAGACACTCGCACTCCCCTGCTGTGGCATGTTTCAAGGAGAGTAACACTAAAGACTCCCATCTCAGGTTCGTAAACTAACTTATATATTTAAGCAAGCGTCATATACATCATTCACTTAAAAAAAGGTAGGCCAGCTCACCTGTCTTGTAGTGTGTAATCTATGTTTTCAGGGGAAATCTGTCCAGTCACAGGATGCCGAAATGATGTAGCCTTCAGGTTGTGGCTGCAGGACAGAGGGAGAGACAACACCAAGAGAAATAAGAAAAGGAGTATCAAGTCATTAATCATATTCCTTCTGGATCAACTCCCTGCACACCTGTGATTCTATACTCCTAGCTGTCTGTTGGATGGGGGTAAAAATATCACATAAAGTTCATAAGCTTACAGTGATGATTCAGTCAACAGCAAAAAAAAAGAATCTTCAGTAGCCCTGCAGCCAGCCAAGGCTCATATAGCTTTACACAGAGTGTAGGGCTCAGCATTCTCCGTAAGCCAGCCCACCAAGCTTTATTGATTTCAATTAGATGGGCCATTCATTGCTTTAACTAGAGCATAAACACATGCTACTGTCACATGAAAGAATAGCAAACAGCAGCTACTGGTGACGAGAGGGCTGAATAGCATGACACGACAAGTTTCTATTTGTTGTCTGTTGTATAATTACACGTGACTAAACAATGATGGTAATAATCACTTTTTACACCAAAATAAAAATATTTTTCAAATCCTCCTTGAATACAAACTCAACAAACTGTGTCAAACTAAGCCTAAACAAATATAATGCCACGCTGCAGGCCCTGAAACCTGTTTCCAGCAGGTTTACTCAATGGATGATTTCATTCTTACAAGCTTTAAAGTCTGATTGCCCATCCTTATAAACTAATAATTGGGGTATTTTTAGTTTCACTCATTCACTGGATTTATCTAAAGTACCTCACTTGTTGCCTATCCAGGACAGGTTGCCACTGCTCATTATCATTATCGCTCTTTTCCGTTGAACTTTTTCCTTATTTTTTTTAACAATTTTATGTTGGAATATTACAAAAAAAATGTCGGTGAGCAATTTGCATTGCATTTGATATATTGCTATCATAGATGCAATTTCAGGTTTGAAGTCTCGACTCGGGCAACTTAAAGAAATGGTTTCATTCAAGCAAAAGACAAAAAGGCTGGGAGCAATGATGGGTTAAACAAACAAATAATCCTTTTAAGTTGATACTCTTTACTAGTGATTTATTAAATTCTTCTCTCACTGTCTCTCTTTTGTTTCCTTTAATCGTCACTGTCATCGTTAACAGCACTGAAGCTGAAAAATACTGTGCCCTCACAGGGTAAATACTGCTATGCAGAAGCTAAACACTTTCATAAGCACTCACACAGGCACGGATAAACACATTGCTGAGATAAAAAAATGTTTACACTATGTTCACTTAAAGTGTGCCAGTAGTAAATAAATGATTATAGTGCAGTGGGAGGTGGGGAGGGGGGTGAATGCTCTGAAGGAAAGCTGCTAAGTTTCAGCACCATACAGACGCAGAATGATAGAAACAGAAAGTGGTTCTTCACTGCATCACCATGCAGCAAAGGGAGGAGGAAACAAACAGAGCAGGCTGGAAAGATTTATGAGTCGACATTTCAGCAAAGTTCACAGGAAAAAAAATCCAATTCTGCAGATGTAAAAACATGACTTCAAGTATAAACGGTATATAAAATGCATGTTTACGATCACGTGTATCCTGCATTGAATTCAGCATTTAAATATCCATAGATAAACAAAAACTTGCACACCCATGCATTCACACACGCAGAGATTTGACCACTCATAATTTGCTGAGCTGAACTGGGCACATACAGGCAGCAGCACTGCACCAGGCTCCCCTGTTAATTAGGAATCTGCATTCTTTGAGGCTTTTGTTTTAGCCGCATTACTTCTGAACTATTTGTCACGGAATTCGAAGCATCCCCAGCTAATGTACCAACAATGCAGCACACTGGGCCCATTTGTTTGGTGAAAATTAGATTCCTTGAAAGCTTGTGACGATGCTTTTTTTTTTAAAGGATGGGGAATAAACGTCCTGTACGTGAGCTACCGAACAGCCATCTAAATTATGTAGTGGGGAAGCACCGAAGGTTTCATTTAGTTGCACGATTTGTTTAAAAGAGTTTTGTAAGTCAACACAAAGAGCAAAACAAAACTTTAAAAAGATGACAGTGTTTTCAGTCATCCTGCAGTTGTTTCTGTCTCCTATGAAGTCAAATGTTGCAATACAACAGTGAGGGACGCATCATCTGATAACTATGCAGTATATATTATCCTGACAGGAGTTCAAGGCTTGCATATTTCAGCATTCAAAACCATCGGGTCAAGAGTTTTACCAGATAAAGCAAAGAATGATTGATGTTTCTCCTTGCAGTGAACTTCAAGAAGGCATGTCTCATTGTGTCAGTTTAAGCTGAGCCACAAAAAAGGGGGCTGTAAGTAAAAATACTGGTTTAGTTTGCCCAAATGCAAACACCCTTACACCATCAAATGGAGCTTTTTATATGAACTGAAATGAGTTTGATATACAGTTGCCAAACTCTGAACACCAAATGACAGTCTGGTTTTTTTTCATGAGAACCAAAAACCTTCCCTGAGAAATTTGTGCAGAAACAGCAGCACTGCAACTCAGTTCCTATGAGCATGCTCTGTCTCTCTTTGCTGCAACAACTGGATTCAGCCCTGGCACGCTATGCAATATTTTGCAGCAAAACAAGACGCTCAGCCTAATCCCTGTCCAATACATGGGTTAGGTCCAGACAGAAGGGTACCAAGGGCAAGGCGCTGTGGACGGAGCACCTAATACTCTCTCACACCAACAGAAACACCTTGAGGTTTCTAACTACTCTGGTTTTTCTGTAAGAAATTAATCACACTACGAGAATACAATGAAAACTCCTTGTACAATCTTTATAGAACTTTTTCAAGAACAACAAACTCCAGTGGGAAAAAGAAAACTGTTCCCACTATGAGAACATATCTCTCTACCACTATATACTGCTATGTAATACACATAATGGCAACAGTCTGACCTGTTTTGAGATCATGCATCATCATGAAGCCGCTGGACTCGCCATGGTGGCAGGTTATCCTCTCGGCACTGTGTCAGGTGGAAGATGCAGAGGGTCTTTCATAGAGGCTGACATCCACAAAGAGCAGAGTAAAGTGGAGCCAGCAGGATATAGGCTGAAGGGGGAGCTCTCCATCTCCACTTTGTCCTGCTTAAGCGTGCTATCTGAGTTTCAGCCCACACTTACTGAGTGGATGGTAGAGAGCTATCTCCCTCCCATCAGGGGAATGCCTCAGTTATCAGATCTTCCTCCCTTTCCATTTTCTCTTCGCTCCTCTCTCTGTTTCTCTTTCCCTATTTCCTGGAATTGAGCTTTCTGCTTCCATAAATCTCTTTCAGGGAAATATATGCAGCAGCCCTATACCTATGGCTGCTATTAAACTGAGAATAATTTATCTTTGACATCAATTCAGTCTTTTTGTTTTGTTTTGGACATGGCAGAGTTTTTGCCAGTTTCATGATGTTGCCGCCTAATCATTTCTTAAATGCATTATTCATTTATTTTAGTAAACCATTGTCAGGTTCATACATTACTGATATGCCCTAAGTAACAACACTGCAAGTAGAGACACCAAAATAACTTGACAGCAATTTTCTCACAGATCACAAGCTTTGATTGGCCAGGTTATTCCTGTTCTTTCATACTAATGGTTTCTTCCATTTCCAAGTTCAAGAACTGGAAAGGAAAATGTAAATAAAAACAGAAACCAGCAATATACAAGTCTCATCAACCCATATTTAATTCAAAACACAAGCTAAAAAACCCCAAATGTTTAAACTGCACCATGTCTTCTAAAGCCTGTATATACCTTTTAGCATTGATGGTGGCTTTCCAGATGTGCATGCTGCCAATCTCAGAGGCACCAGTGAACCCCTTTACCATCAGAGATGCAGGCTTTTAAACTGAGCGCTGATACCAAACCTGATGGTTCCTTCTCTTTAGTGCAGAGGAAACAGTGTTAGTTGAAAAATGTTCCTTCAGCTTTTACAGCCTTCTTTACATGTGTGGTTGCTTATAATAAAATTTCTCAGTTCGAACATATGAGATGTTTCCTGTTCTATTGTGAATAAAATCTAGGTTTATGAGATTTACACATGATTGCATTATTGTTTTATTTACACTTTTTCAGAACCGTTGTTTACACATTTAAAGTTCATATAATAAACTGTACGCCGTGAAGTCAGCTAAACATGCTCACAGCCACCACGACAACATCAGTTTTGGAAAACTAGAGTGTTTAAACTGGGGTTAAACCTCAGAGTGTCTCCTTTTGATGCTGGTTTAACAGCAGTATTGATCTATGCTAAGAGGGAATTAAAAAGTAATCCAGTAACCCAAGTGGTATCAACATACTGTAGGCCTATGGAATATATTAAATCCAACAGACAACCAAGGATTGTTGAAGTTAGTAAAAATGTCATGTTTCGGCTGTGTGCAGGCAGGAGAAGGACCCAAACGCAAAACTCACCACGCAGGAATTAAACTCAAAAAGCTGCTTTATTGCAGAATGGCACAAAAAATATAACAAAACTAAACTGGGACATGGATAAACTGACACACAGGGAAACACAGCCATGAGGGAGACTACAACACTGACAAAGAGAAACACAGGGCTTAAATATACTGAGGGATAACGAGGGAATGAGACACAGAAGGAGAGCACAGCTGGGAGTAATCAGGCTGGACGAGACAAGGGAAGCAAAACTAGAAACACTGACATGAGACACGGACCTTCAAAGTAAAACAGGAAACACACTGACTGAACTCTAGACATGTAAACTTAACAGCAACTGGAGAGACAGAACATAGGAACCTGAAACATGGTACAGAAAGCCATAGTAGACACAACATGGAACACAGGGAAGCCATATTACAAAACCTAAGAAATAAACCTATGATAACCATAACTGAAACCTAAAGAAACAACAAACACAGTACAACAAAGGACTCAAAACATAAACCATAATATAAAAAAAACACAAGAACTCAAAAAGCTGGGTCAGAAAGACCCAGAACCGTGACAAAAAAAGACTTCAGTTTGCTTTTCAGTGAAGCAATGAGAAAGTGTATACATGATGGAACTAACTCATTAATTATAAATGAATTGTAAGA